CAGTAGAAAAGCCTGTCTCACCTCAGTATCTTTTGGGTTGCTCTTTAGGTCTGGTCTGTTGGTGGTAGGCTGATCTTTTGTTGCTGCAGCATAAATCAATTACTTAGAGTGCTCTACATCTACAGACCTACGCTGATTTGAGGCTGCCTTGACACATTGAGTGTGCTGGTGGGAGAGGATACAGAGGGAAAAAAGCCTCAACCATGCTTTAATTTTTTTCAGCTTTCCCAGCAATGCCCTGCCAGGTTGCTGGGTTTGTGTACAACAGCTGTGTTACATAAATATGCTGAACAAAAGGGACTTTAAAAAAATCTGAGGGAGCATGGGAGATCAGAAGAAAATGGTTTTCAGGGGTGGGGGAGTCCGTAGACAGTGATGGAGCCATTACTGTTAGTAGTCTGGAAAGGAATCTGCCCTCAAATTAAAATATTCAGGCTAAAAGAGATAGTTACAAAAAAAGAGATTAAAATATAATTTTTTTTTTGTGATGGGAAAGAGCTTGTTGCTTGCGTTTGTGTATCTGTTTTTATGTCAAGTGAGTTCATTTAATTTCTTTGATATTGACTGGATTTTGTGTCAGTTTTGGGGTTTTATGCTTGTTTATATTTAACAGGTAAACCCTCTTACTCTCTCTCCTCCTTGCCGTAGATGCACTGAGAGCCTGTGGTTTCCAGACGGGCTGCAAAACAGGGATTTATTGATACTGATGATTTTTTTTGTCCTTAATGAAAGCTAAGCAAAGGTCACTGTTGGCTTTTATTATGTCAGCTGGCTTTTGCACAGTTTGCCCTAGGCAGCATGGATGCTCTCAGAAGACTTGGGTCTGTTCCTTATGTTGTTTCTTTCCTTCCTCCATTCTACCCTCTTAACCATGTTGTTTTTCTATCTCCTTTAATTTGTGTGAGCAGTAGAAAGACTGAGCCTTGAGAAACTTTTTGTACCAAGTGACATATATGAATTTGTTCATTTTGTCATTTCATCAGTGCAGATGCACTGGGTCTAAGGGCATGTTTCAAATCCCTTGTCCTGTGCAAATTTGTGATATTACTGGATAATAAAAATTAGTCTATGAAGAATGACACAGAATACTAAACTGTTAACATTTATGCTTGGTTTGGACTATATATAAAGATCATTGTTGGTTTGGGATTTCTGCATTAAGAGAACTGCAGTATTATTCAGCTTTATTATTGCCCCTTTTAAAGGAAACCTGATTCTGTGATGATACTTGTTGACTCTTCAGAAGATGAACTGACTCTGGGTTGAACTATCCTTAACCTCTGTTGGTAGAATGGAGTTAGAAATGGAGTGAAATGGTGTGGTTACCATCTGTGTGTTTGACTTCACCTGAGATGATTCTTAGTCCTTCTGTTCAGATTTCTTTAATCTTCCCTTTCCTCTCAGTCTCCTCTTTTCTCTGTATCCAAGATGGTGTAGAGAAGGGGGGGGGGGGCGGGGGAGGGTTCAGCTTTGCTTTTCTGTTAAGTCACAACTTTGACATTTCTAGACTAGTGCTAATGCTGCAGACTGTCTTAGAAAATCAGTGGGAAATTCCAATCTCAAGTGATTTGTCCTCTTATTGAATAAGTGGAATTGTTTCATCAGTAACTCAGAATTCAGATCTGCACTTTAATCTTAAAGCACTAAGCTGGTTCTTATTTTAAATGTATGAATGATTTACTAATTTCATTAAAAAGGCAGTGCAGGATAACAGTCATCTTTAGTAACCCTAAATGGGACTGGATCCAGTAGCTTGCTGGAGGCATCATTCAGCTCATCTGGGATGCTCTCAGTAGCAAGACTTGAGTCTTCTAAGCTTATAGTTGACATTTAGCAAATTTTTGGGTTTCTGCCTGATACTTTGATGCTACGCCTGCTCCAGTATGGTGCCATTGTCTTATTTTGGTGTTCTGCATTACAGTACTTGAGTGATAAGATAGAGTGGCCTATACTGGCTCATATTATCAGGATTTGAAGGAGAATTTGTGGATTCCAACATGGAGCCTAATTGCAATATTGCAACTTCACCACTGGAAAGCTGTTAGTTCTGGAGGTATTTCTTAGAAGCTTTGTTGAATTGGCTCAGTTAGTCCTCAGCGGGCTAGGACTAACTGGAGGGTATACATGGTAAAGAGTGGTGGGGAAAAAGTTATGATGTCTAGCTGGTGTCTAGGACAGAATCCTACAGTACATCTTCTGGGATACTAGAGTAGCATGTACTAAAGCTTAGATTGAATGTACTTTTTGACAGTCTGATTCAGGAGCTTGTTTCTAGATATTAAAATCAGTGGATGAGGGAGTTTCCAGGGGGATTGAAATAATTTGAGTTCTGTTTCAAGGATTAACCAAAATCAAGATGTTTGTTTATATTGTTGTGTCTTAATGATGCTTTTTATAATATATTTGTACAACAATTAGTAAAAATGAAAGAAAAACCTTACTTCCTCTGTTGTTCTGTAAATTTGATGTAAATTTTATGGTAATATATATTGGATTCCCTTTCTCCTAGGATTATTTGTATGTGGTCAAGCTTACTGTGCATGTGAATAGAATTTTCACATTTTATGCTGTTTGCAAATAACTTATTTTCTACTCGCAGATGTATGTAAAATCAGGCAGGGGATAAGTGGCATTACATAGCAAAAACAATAGTCGTGTTTGTGTTAGCCTATAGACAGCAGGACCCTGTGATAGTTGGAATAATGAGAGCACAGTTTATAAAAATAGATGTGAAGGAAAATATAGCTGGTCTAGAATTCTGCTGGCTTCTGTGAAAAGCTGCTCTTGTTTTCTATATGGCAGAGAAAGTAGTATGGATTAAAGGAAAGTACTTTTGCATTAGTCTGCTGTGCTGTTGTTGCCCAATAGATCATTTGCTATTACTATGTGCTGCAACAGAAGTAATGAAAAATATCCTGCAAACAGTAATTGTCCGAGTCCCTAACCTTTATAAGGTTAGATGTAAAAGCTCACCAAAGCTTGTTCACTCACTTACCTTTGGATTTGATACTAATGTTGTAGTGAGATGTTTCTTTTGTGAAAAATGTGCTTGACTTTATCTATAGAGCCCTTGGTGGTTTTGGGGTCGGGGTGTAGGGGAGAAGGAACAGTCTCACATCACTGCATCACCACAGTGAAGAATTCATAAAACAGGTTTTGACTGACCATTCCTACAGTGGTATCAGGTGATTAGGAGTTTCATGTTAGCATAAAGTGTGACTGGTTTAAGCAGTGGATCAAATGCATTATGCTGCTGCAGTCTCTTAAATGATATTAAATCAGGATAATTAGTTTTGCATTGAGAGTTTTGTTACTTCTTTTTTTAAAATAAAAAGTAAGGAAATATTTCTTTATGGCTCTTAGTAAGTTTACTGCCACAGATTTTGTATCTTATGCATTTAGTGTACATTTTGATTTTATAGTATGTACTGTAAAATGTTAATGTTTTACAGAATAATGAATAACCTGGCACTAATGGAAGAAAATGTCAGCTCCCAGTGCATGTGGGAAACTTTTAAAATTTTTTAGGGTAGCTTGACCTCCAGTTTTCCTTATATTTAAGAGCTTACTAGGTAGCCTGTGTCTCCAACATGTTCTTTATCCTGATTTTACATTGACTCTATTAATATTTCTTGACCGTAGAAATCTTACTGGGTCTTAAGAACTTGTAGCCTTTGTTCATACATGTGGCTTCAGTCAGTGTAATGGCCGTGATTATAAGCTCTTGCAGTATACAGGCTCTGAACAATTATCTTAACCTCTATTTAAACAGAAGTCTCCATTTGGACAACTGAGGAGGTTCTTGTATTTCCCTCTTTGCATTGTGATCCTTTACAGTGAAGTTGCTCTTTAGTGATTACAGGATGTGAACTTAAAATATTATTTAATCTTGTTGGACAGTTACAATTTATTCCTAAGCAGGAACCAAAAAAGAAGTTGTACTTCTATTACTTTATGTAAAGTTTACTCTGTGTAAATTGTCTTCTCTTCTGAAAAATTTGTTACATACTTGTTGGCATAGATTCACCTACTTGAATCGCTGTCTGTAAGCAATATTAAACTATATATTATATAGTTATATACTTTACTTTCAGGCTGGTATACAGGATTGTAGGAGTCTAGGATGGGCCAAGTTGTGCTTACTCCCACTATGCTGGCAATGGCTCCCTAATGGCATCCACATCTTCTAAAAGGCAAGGCCAAATAATTAGTGTTAGGGAAGTCACCCAGGATTATATGTTGCATGTAGTGTTTTCAATGCCATAACTCTACCAAAGTATGGAGAAAACCTTGTTAACTATTCAAGTCAACCACTAAAATGGCAAGCACTGAGGTTGAAATGGTTCCTACAGTACTTTCTTCTCTGTTAATGCATGCAACTCTCATTAAAGCAAATATTCTGTTGTTGGGGTTGTGGCTACTCTTACAAACCTTTTAACAGCTAGTTAGAACATGCTTTGGAAGTTGGGGAGGTTCTCCTGTTTGCATAATCTTGAGTTTCCTAATTTCTTAGAAGGGTAGGATCTAGTGACTTAAATGCCTAAATACTCTGCCATCACTAGTTAGGAATTTGGGAATACCACAACCTATATAGGAAAAGCAGCTGTTACATTTCCTAGAGTGAGGGAGTAGAGTCTCTGACATGATCCTCCCTAATTAAATTGCTTGGCACTGGGGAGAGGAAGATGATCTTCGTTTTTTTGAGTTTTAGCCTACTGCAAAAACAAGGCAAAGTTAAATCTCCTGTACAAAGGCAGATCCTAATCATCACTAATGGCAATTGACGTTGATTCTCCTGTATGTCTCACTCTGGATGGGTACATCTTGGTCCTCTGTCCCTTATTCTTTTGTCACAGCAGCTCTTAATCAAAAGCAAAGAATTTTGCTCAAAACACTAGGAACCCCACATTTTTCTTCTTTTAAAATATAATAAATTTAAAATAAAATTATTTAAATTAAATTTAAAATAAAATAAATTTAAATTTCTAGGCACCAACACACTCTTTAGGTTCCTGATTTTAGACACCTGCTCCCATTATTATTTTGAAACGGTAATTTTTTAAATTAATGTCCAGGTCACCTGAGTTGTATACAAAGAGTTTTTTTTGCTCTTGCATCTTTCCCCAGAGGTGGTGCAGCAGCCTCTTGGTCAGCTCACCCAACCAAGTTTACCTTTGGCGCTGATGAGTAAGTAACAACATAGGAGGTGTGGGCAGGCATCCTTTCACTGAAGCTGTTTACGTTCAATAGTTGGGGATTTTTTTTTTCCTTTGTACTGTGCAGTTTTTTTGACAGTTCTAATTTACCGTGATGTGGTCAGTGCTGTTTCCTTCCGGCTGCTTGCGAGCCTCTGGTAGAGATAAGGGTACGTTTACAGTGCATTTTTAGCGTGAAGCTGAAGATCTGCTTCATGTAGGAACACGGGCACTCTCTGGATTGTACAAAGAATTTATTTATTGGTTTCATCATGTTGACATGGGGATTCAAGATCCAGAACATTTTACTTGCAAAAAAAAAAAACAACTTTGTTAAATTTGAACTGTGTGTAAAGAAGGAATGTGAGATACTTGGGATATCCTACAGCTGAGTAGGTCTGTCTGAGTTTTGTATTTTTACTTTGAATAAACTGTGAAGATGAGAGGTGCTAATGAATATGAAAACTGCATATCTGAATCAAATGAAAATACGGATTTTCTCTTTGTTAACTTTTGTATCATTTCCTTAGTCTCCTGCTTTTAATATGAAACACTTTGATGTCTTATTTCCTGAAACAGTTCTATTTCAGGTAATGAAACTTCTCATATATTAATCAGTAAAAGTAATACCTTTGGAGACAAAAAAGTGTCTGACTTCCTTGGACGTACAACAGTTTTAATATGTAGAAAGCTTTATTGCCACTGCTACAATTTCACATTGCCAAAGTAACAATTTTTTAATGATAATTTCTTTATTTTTCCCTCCACAGTGGTAAAGTGTATCGAGGCGGGAAGAACAACTCAGGAAAGGATTTGCCTTGGTTTGTTCTGCTTTGAGAAGAGAAGAACCCAGGAACACTGATGATCTAAGAAACACAAACATTGATACTCGATTCATTTTGCGAACCTGACTTTCTGTCCAGCGGGACCTTAGTGAAGCTCTCTGTTCTTTCACATTCAAGACCATTTTTCTTTGTATGTGGAGCGGAGACCTGGGAATGCGTTATTATGGCAGCAGTTGTACAGCAGAATGAGCTTGTGTTTGAATTTGCCAGCAACGTCATGGAGGATGAGCAGCAGGTATGGGATGGTGTAAGAAACCATATTTGTACAAGTCGGTGTTAGGAGTATTATGAAACATGAGGAAAAAATGTGGTGTAAAACACAAAAAGGAAACATTGAGGTCATTATTGTTGCAGCAGATCTTTGTGCTGTTTCAAAAGTTTCCTGTTGCTTCCTGTAACTTGCATGCACAGAACAGAAATTGGTTGAAATGTTATAACCTCTGCAGTATTGCAAAGACATCCTCCTCCAAAAATATTTTTTCTGTTTTGCTGATTTGTGCCAGTAGAATCCATGCATGTGTGATGTAGAATTCTCAAAATGACGGTATTTTATAGTAGTTGCAACTTCTCTAGTGTGCTAGGATAAAATTCTGAGTAGAAGTAATAATGGTCACTCTGCAAGGAAGGGGCAGTATGTACCTGTGCACTGTTATTTACAGATTGGTTTCTAAATTGTGTTACTGCACAATTATTCAGAATTATTCAGAAATAAACTTGAAAGTAATTTACATTGGTTTCTTTTACACTACAGGGAAAATATGTCTGTTTCTACCTACGTAGACTCTCAGGTGTTGATTATTTAAACCATATCCTGTAATTTCTGAAGCTTCAGTGTAGGATGCCTATTGTAAAAATCATGTAGCTTCTCTATAGCTGGTGGTTAATATTAGAGCTTGCATTTATTAACTAGAAATGAGGTGTCTGAGCCTTTTTAAAAGGCTAAGTGCCATGACAAACTGTTCCTTTTTTGTTAATGTAAAAAGCATTTATTCTCCTCTCTTAAAAAAATACCCCGCTTTTGGCTTTATAATATTGTCTGTGGTTTTCTGTATGGTCTAATATCTGGCTGGGTCACTGGCCTGTTTCTGCTGTCAGAGTCATGCGATCATTTCAATGAACTGAGTGTTGTCTGTCTAAAGTGCTAACTCAGTTTTGGGTGGAATTAGTAATGTAACTTCCTTCCCTGTATTTTTCCAGAGCTTGTGGTAGCCTGGGGATTTAGATATGGGAATTGCACAAGCGTAGTAAAAAATGAGCCTTACTTATTGCTTCTGCTGGTTATTCATTGCTGGCTTTACTTTACAAGCCAATAGGAGATGGGAGAATTGAGGTAGGGAGGGCTACTTCAGTGTGGTTCCATGGAGGGGGAGTGCAAGCAGATAGGGTTTTGTTTTGTTTAGCTGTGCATTTTGCTTCTTGCAATTTCTTCAGATGCTCACCTGAGAAACTTTAAAAATACTGAAGATCACTCAACAGGACAGTAAAACCTTTTAAACAGAGCTTTCTTCAGCTTCAGAACAAACTCAGCCTTGATGTTTATCTCATAACCCCACTAAATTCTGCTCTGGATGAAGTCTAAGATGTTCTGTAGCATACCCTAAAGGTGGTGAAATCAAAGATATGAAAGGCTGGAGATAGAGGGTGTATAGCAGGAAGTCCATTGCTCTAGGCAGATGCAAGCTCCTTTTAAATCACTGGGTTCACTTAGTTCAGATATCAAAGATGCAGGTAGCCAGCTAGCTGGCTGCCTGAAGGTAAATCTTAAATGCCCAGCTGTAGAAGAGAAGTCGTGCACAGGTGAAGACCTGAGAAGCTGGAATAAGGTTTGGTTTGGCTGAGGGCTTGTAGTACGTTAGCCCAAAAAGACTGCTTCTTGCTTATACTTGATTGACCTGCTTCTTACTACACAGGAGTTATTGCTACTCCTAAAGTTTTAAAGTTCTTAGATTAGTTGTGTTTAGGGATGGACAACACAATTTGTTTGGAAAAATGGTAGCTCTGTAAGTGCTCTGTGTTGGGCAAAAGCATTTTTTAGATCTTCATTATTTACAAAAGGTGTAATTTATTTTAAGAACTTTGGTACTTTTCTTCTTGTCAAAGTTTTGCTTGGAGCTCACTTGTGCCAAGAGCTCTTGGGACATGGAACAGCTGTGGAGAGAGGTTCAGAGTCTAAGTGGCAACTATGCTCAGTACTTCAGGGAAGTCATAATTCATGACTATTTTGCCTTTTTTTTTTTTTAAGTCTTGGTTAAACAACCATAAATTATGAACAGTCCATTTGCAAATGTAAGCATTCAGTGGCAGATGCCAATGGGAGGGGCTCAATCACATGGACTCGTGTGAATGGGAAAGGCTTGCTCTTATCAGCTTTATTCTTTGTGGTTTAGAAAATAATGATTTTTAAATTTTTCATTATTCCTGGAGGGTTCATTTATCACATAGTAGATCTGTGGTGAGGAAGAAATGAAATGAAAATATCCTTATAATTTTCAGAAGGGAACAAGTGGCTTGGGCTAAGGCTACTGATAACCTGTCTGGTTTCTGCTACATGTCAGAGATCTGGTTAGAATAGAGAGTTTGCTTTTTTTCCCCCTCTTTTCTGTGTTTTTTTTTTTTTTTTTTTGTTTTGGTTTTTTGTTTGTTTGTTTGAGTTCTTTAGTTGTTGTTGTTGTGAGACAGAGGGAGACAGCTCACACAAAACTGGGTAGGAGTTCCTGCAGGCTGTGGCTGAGTCAACACCACTGCCTAAACCTGCTTCTCTTCCTATCTGCAGCCTCTTTCAATGCCTTTTCATTTAATCCTTTGTGGACTTTTTGATCAGGACAGTCTTAATTTAAAAAGCTGAATAAAAGCAGCCTAGTGGCTAGATCCATAGTAGGAAGCTTTAAATTGTGCCAGGGAGAAGTTGAATCATTACAAGCATTAAATTGCTAACACGGTTCCCAGCATGACTGCTCTGTGTCGGGCTGTGCTCTCTCAGGTGGCTCTGATGCTTGTAGTAACCTGTGCCTGAAGACCCCTTCTGTACCTCTGGCATTTGTTTCTTGTGGGAGGATGGATTGTGAGAGAATAGAGATAGTGCTGAAGGTAACCTCACCCCTGAGTAATTGCAGCTGGACTAATTACCAAAGAGTAGGAACAGCCTTGCCTTTAATAGGTCTTGGTTGTGTCCAGTAAGGATGGGTGTTATAAAAGAGTGGGTTAGCTGGTGGAGAGGAGAGTTGGAGTTTGTTGGCTGTGCTGTGAGGAGTAAGGGTTAGGTGGTCATGCTAGGGACAGAAAGGGTCAGGTGTTCATGTTAGGAACAGTAAGGGTTAGTATGTGCTGTGAGGGACGGGAAGGAGTCAGCCAGCTGTGTGGAAGAAAGAGAAAGAGTCAGTGCTGTGAGGAGCTGCCCGTGAGAACTCACAGAGAGAAGGTATAAAAGTCTATCTACAGTAAGATAACAAGCTGGCAATGACAGTCAGTTCTCATCCACCATTGATCAGTGCCAAGCACCAACACCAACAGTTTCTCTCTTCCTTTCTTCCTATACAGACAGGTCTGAGACTTTAGGTTGAGCCATGACTTCTGCACCATCATCTTATGTCTACCTTTGCTCTTCCATGTTCCCTGATATCTCCATGGGCTTTCAGAAAGATTAAGCCACCTGGTCAAGGTGAAGGTCTACATTTTTTTGGCTGTTTCCAGCTCTTGCAGAAGGTTCCTTCCTTTTATCCACTTGCAGTTTTATGAAAACTTTAAGGAAAATATGAAATCTGTAATAAAATTGTCTTCCCAGAAAAGTGACCATCATGCCTCCAGCATCCTTCTGTGCAATTTGGTCCCTTCTCATATGCTGGTGGTGGGAACACTTTTAAAGTTGAAAAGCTGTCTCTGCACAGGGACTGTCAGCAAGGGAGAACTTCAAAAGCTGTTTTTTAGTCACTAAGGTCACTTCCCCTAGTTCTTTTTAGGGTTTTTTTTTGGGTGCTTTATTTGTTCTTTTGAGGGGGGATTTGTTTGTTTGTTTGTTTTTAATATAAATGGCCATCTGTATTGCAAGTCTGAATGTTGTTTGGTTAAAAAGACAGTTGTTTTTTCCCTGAGGTTACTTTCTCTTTTTTTTTTTTTTTTTTTTTTTTTCCCATGTAGCTTTTCCCTTCTACTATCTATCGCATGTATTTCTTCCCACCCATCACTCACTTGCACAAAATTTATTCCACACCAGGTAAAAGCTAGTCACCTTATTCCTGGGACAAGTTCATCCTTAAAGACTTGTAGTATAAGAAGGCAGTACCTCCAAAGCAGAGGAAATCTCCTTCCTTATTTTCCATTTCCGTGGCCTGGATGGTGTTTTGATCTTCTGTCAGCTGGTGACAGTTCATGAGACAATTTTTAGAGAAAAAGAGAAACACCTTGTCAGCCTCTCAAACACACTAAAAGAGTTAAAGAGCAGAAAGGAAGACTGCTGCCTTTAGCCCTCAGAGGAGGACAGGGTTCAGTTTTCAGGGGATTGTGGAATATAACCAATGCTTTCAGGGACCTGCTCATGGTACTTTTATGAACTTCATCTGTATGAAGTTTGCATTCCTTTGAGTTGGTAAAGGTTCATCTATGGGGACGTGGTGTCTAAGATTTGGGAAGATTTTTGCAGTAGCTCAATTGCTTTATGTGTCCAGCACACATGAGAGATGGGTCGAAGCCAAGTCAAAGCTCTGCTGGAGCTAGAATGTCATATTTTACTTATATTTTGTATAAGAAACATGAAGCAGCAGAAGTAGGAGAAATTAAAAATACACAAATTGTTCTTCTATGGATCTCTGTATCCATTTCCTGAAAGTCATTGCTGACACTTTAATTTGGGACTTATTTTAAAACTTTGCACTCTGCCTTTTTGCTAGGACATATAGAAGCATGTTTGTATTAGAAATAAATTTTTTTGCGACCTTGCTATTAGAGAGGTAATTTAATTTGTGTTAATTGAATCACTACCTTGTAGCTCTTAATTTAATGTTTTCCCTGTGTGTAATTCTCATTACACACTAGATTCAAAGGGAGCTGTAGTAAAAAAGGGCTCTTTTGCAGTTCCAAATGTGTACAGTTATTTTTGTGTCTTACAAAACAATAGAGCTAAAGGAAGGTTTAGCTTGGCTCTCAACTGGGATTCAGATGCCTTCAGTGAAATCAAGAACATTAGCTCACAACAGTCACGCGTACATCTGTGTACATTAGCTTTAAATGTATTAGCTTTTAAAACTGAATGGAAGGCTTGTTGATGAAATCATAACCAATTGCGCGTACTGTATAAAAAAGCAATGGCCACTTCCACAAAATGCATTTCAAATTAAATTGGTTTGCAGTTGAGTGAATGTTTTTCTCCATAGAAGCATACTGGAATTTGTTCTTTCCTTTTCACAACCATAGCGGGAAGGAAAGTCTATACATTGTACCACTGTAGGGACTGAGTTGGAAGCAGTTATAAGAATAGTTTTAAAATAAAAGGCCACAAGAAGTGATGTTTACTCTGAGTCTTACAGTTCAAAACTGTGACTAAGTTAAAGAAAAGCACATTTAAAGTGTCTTACCATGAGTGAATGCTTTTCTGTTGATCTACAGCCTTTTGGAAGCATAGTGTGTCAGCAGCTTCCTTGGGGGAAGGAACCCTGTCAAGGGGGTTTCTCTTCCTGCAGACAGACACAGCGACCATATCAGAGTGCTGTGATGATGATCGTTTCTAGATATGGTCAAAACACAGTTTAATCTGGCAGAGCAGTTCAGATGTAATCAAACTAAATACTTTAAAACTGCGTGAAGCAGCACAGTTCAGTACCACAGGAAACATTCTGGTCAGTAATGAAGCATATTTTAGAAATGTGGATGTTTGGGCTTTTGTAACTAGGTTTTGTAGCAAAGTGAGTAGAGCGTAATACAAATAGGGCTTTGAGGAACAAATCTGAAAACATGTGACAATCAGTTGATTTCATCTGGTTTGTTTATTATTCTGGAACATTTTTCTACAACTCATCCTCTCAGAGGCCAAGCCAGTGGTGTGAGCATCAGTCATTAGAGAAGGACAGAGCTCTGAGCCAAAGTCATTTTCTTCTCCAGAAGAAACTAATGTAAGGCTTATCTTGAGCACAGGCAACTTGATCTGTGGCTGCAGACACTGCAGCTGTTGAGCCAGCGCAAGGGCGGAAGCGGGGCAAGGAGCGTGCCTTGCTGCACAGGCGTGGCAGGGAGGAGGAAGCTGGCCACTTGCTGATGAGTGTGTGGGACACCGCTGCCTCCACCAGAAATGAGCATCCCAATGCCTCCACTATTTCATAGTCAATGCATAGCAATAGTTGTTTTTAGGGCATGACATCCTATTGTAGCACTGGAGCCTAAAACTGGGCAGGGAAATTGTGCCCTAGAAATGTCATTTCTGTCTGTTGGCTGGGAAGGAAACTTGGGGTCCTTAGCTCATGTCCAAGTGCCTGCACTACAGCTGTCCATAGCTTAAATCCCAAAAGTTATGTATTGTGCCATATTATTAAAATGAGGTATTGAAACTATTTGTAGAACATAATTGTATCTCAGGAATGAGGTTGTAATGGACAATCCACCTTGTAGCTTATGGAATGTATTGTTGAAAACAAAACTTTTTTTAATGCATGTAGTTTTTTAATTTTTCTTCTCTCTTAACAGTGCTTTATCCTTTTTTATTGATGTGGCTTTTACTTAATCAAATCTACTAGTTTATTCTTGCCTGGAAGCAAATAGGATGTTAGGATCAGTAAACAAATAGGATGCAAAATGTGAACATGACTTTTTCTGAGGAACAGTAGGGACCTCTTAGCCATCAATGATTTCTGGTTTCTCAGCTCCAGTATGATGCAGCATTGGTTGGAGGTGCTCACAAAAGTGTGGGGTAGCAGCTGTCCCATTGCGTGACTTGATATACACCTGTCATCTGGTGATAAGATTGCACAAGAGGGCTTTAACTGGTCTGCACTTTGTTCATTTTTATTGATCTTCTACCATATTGCTCTCTTTTGAAACATGTTTCATAGAATAGGTCATTGTTTGTTGGGTCTTTCCTAAAATTTTGGTTTTGTTGACTCTTTTATTTTGTTTAGTAGACTGTCGATGATAGAAGCCCATTAAAATGCTACTTTTGGTTTTTAGCTCTTATTTTTTTCCTGGTTGCCCTTTACCACAGTTTTTGCTGAGACATGTTTTACAAAACACAGAGCAATTTAAAGTGGTAATTACTGCTTTTTAAATCTTGTAATTTCACTTTCTACATTCAGTACTTATGGTCCAGACTCTTCCCTAGGGGAGGCTTACTCCCATAGCTGTTGTCTGGGTTGAGCAGATAGCTCTGATACCATTTTCTGTGGGTGACGGTGTGCACAGTGGCAAGAGTGAGAGATGAGTAATTCTTAAACAAGGCCATAATCATACAGTTGGTTTTTTCCCTTGGGTTTTTATCTTGTGTGGTAAAAAAACCTACTTGATCTTCCTTCCAATACCTGAAGGGAAACTACAGGAAAGATTGAGAATATTTACAAGAGCATATAATGGCAGTACAGGTGTGAATGACTTCAAACTTAAGATGGTAGGTTTAGATTAGATATTGGGAAAATATTTTTTATTGTGAGGGTGGAAGAGTATTGGAACAGGTTGCCTAGAAAACTTACGGATTCCCATCCCTGGAACTGTTTAAGGCTAGGCTGGTGAAACTTTGAGTAACCTGATGTAGTGGAAGGTTTCTCTGTCCATGGCAAGGGGATTAGAACTAGATGATTTTAAAGTTTCTTCCAACCCAGGCCATTCTATGATCTAATCATATCTGTGCTCTTTTGTGGAGAGTGGAACCAAATATGCATATACTTGTTTTCTCAGAAAAATGTTTTAGAAACTTTTTAGGTTTTTTTCTTGTTTTTGATACATTCATAATGTGTTTTATTTTTATAGTCAGGGAACCTTAGAGTTACACTAGACTTTCTTTGAACCTGTTCTGCTATCAACCTGCTATGACTTTCTTCCTGCAAATGACATTTTAAAATACTCACTTTGAAAAATACAGTGTCTGTGGTAGATGTTATTTGCTGAAAACCTCTTCCTGTTGAGCGGTTGCCTTTCCAGAGTGTGCTGCTTGTTATTATTGCTACTCAGTTTGATTTCTGTTTCCCAGCTGCATCTTCTGTATCTGATGTAAAATGACTATCAAGACCAAAGGATGATGTCTAAATGCAGACTTTGGAAGGAAAGTGGCGAGGGGGGGGTGTGGTGTGAGTAATATCAAGTTAGTAAAGCCATAAGAATTAGAGAGGGAACGTATTGCAGCACTTACATAAACCTGTTACACCCCTTCCTTCTGTGTCCCCTAAAATACTTATTTTCAAATAGTATCTCATAGGGAATTTGTTGCCTGTGAGTGCTTTGTCCAGTCCTCACAGCCACAGGACTCCTTCACTCTCAGCTTGATGGAAGAGCAGAAGGTGAAGGTGTTTGCAGCAAGTTGCTCACCCGGTATTATTGCCAGCAAAGTTTAGCACTTACTGTGCTGTGCCACTCCTCTGTATTGTCAGCTTTACTGCTGAAAAACTATGTCATGCAAGTCTGGTGTTATGTGCTGAAGTGCAGTCAGTACAGTAGATACTACAGCAATATTCAGCCTCTGGCTCCTGGTGTGACACTGCTGCTGTTTGTTTTCAGGTGCTAAAAATCGTCGTTCGTACTCCCTCCTGACAGTTTAATATCCAAGTGGTTTAGTACAGGTCTGTTGAAATATTAGTCATTAAGTGGCTAGATTTGAGGTAGTCTGACTAAAGCTTTGTTTGTTTTTCTTCCACCCCCCAGCTTGGTGATCCATCTATTTTTCCTGCTGTCATCGTGGAGCATGTTCCTAGTGCAGAACTCCTACATAACTACTCTGGCTTAACCTGCGTGGATGAACCTAGTGACATGATCACTGAGAACTCTCTGGATGTTGCAGAAGAGCAGATCATAGAAGATGATGATATCACCCTCACAGGTTGGCAATAAAACCATCTCTGTGCCACTTTGCACTCTCTTGGTGCAAAGGCACCTCTGTGTCTTTGCACCAAGATAGCTGTGACTAATGGAGAAAGAAAGTTAAATGACAAAAAGCAGCAGGGAGCAAAATGAACAGTGGTATTGAATGCTGTTGATTCTGTACAAGACAGAGAAAATGGCTTTAAGTTGTTAGGTGGCTTGCAATTCCAATTGCACAGCTGATAATGGTGAAGAGTTTCATCCTTCAACAATGATTAAGGCAGAGACCTGCTCAGAGAACCAATAAGGTTTTTCTTTGTTTCTCATAGGTTTTATTTGCTTTTACTTACTAAGTGGTAGTTCTTAAGTAAACATATATACCAACAAGTAGGAATATGCAGCTTGAGTAGATGCTGCTTTTAAATTTCTGAGGGTATACAGTTATAAATTAAAATGTGCATGCTAGCATGGCTTACTGGTGCAAGTATACTCAGCATAGTATTAATTTTGGATCTCTACTATTGACTCACACCTAAAATACAGTTTTTTTGGTAAATTCTGTTACAAAAGGTAACCCTAAAGAACAACCAATTCTCAAGAAAAAAGCTCCAAAATCTGTCATATATTTTAAAAACAACACTTCACTAAATGAAGTGAGCACTATTTGAAGTGCTTTTGCAGAAAAATCTAGAAGGTGGGCTAGATACTTTACAGTGAGTTTTCTTTCAGCCATTAGCTCCACACCTGGACTATCTCCAGGGCTGGAGACAGCTTGCTGGTTTCACTCATACTTTTGACATTATTTCTAAAGTATTTTTTTCATAGTAGTGAATTATCTGTAAACAGACTGTGACCATACAAATAAGTTAGGTTATTATTCAAGAAGGTTTTTCATACTCAAACAGTATTTCATGTTGAAACCTCTTGCCAACTTGCTGGTCATATTAATTATTCACACTACAACTGGCATTTCCCCAGTGTGTTACTTAAGCCACTTAATGCATCCGTGTGAATTTCATAGCAGATCATTTTTGTGACTCCATATTCACTGTAATATATTGTGTGTGAATTTTTACATGCATGAGTAATTGTGAAACTCCATTTTTGTGAATGCCCTTGTTAACCTTCTTTTTCTTTTTCTTTTTTTTTTTTGGTTGTTGTTGCTGGTCACTTGAGAAGGGTTTGCAAATTGCTGCCAGAAACTGAAAATATTTAATCCTTGTAACCGATGGTGTCCAAGGGTTTCTGGGATACTTTGGAGTTAGACAAGTACAGTATTGTTTCCATCGTCTATTATAGTTCAAGAAATCTGGTTTTCTTTAAAGGCAAAGTCCTTTTGCAGAGATGCCACTTTGCAGAGATGGAGACTGTGAAACAGATAATTATTATCATTGCTGTGAAGGAAATGACAACTAATTGTCTGTTTCACAGTCTCCATCCTGTGCATGCTGTGGATTTCCTTAGAAGGGAAAGGGGATCAATGCAGGCCAAGCCAGGACCAACACTGTGGCTGGAAAGCTCCTGCTCAGGACAAGGCAGGCAAGACTGGTCTCTGACAGGAAGCTATCCAGCCTGACTCTAGTGGGGCAGAATTTGGGGCCCAGGGGTGTGAAGGCACCCCACAGGAGATGAGAGAACCCTGGGGAGGGAGGCCCCTGTTCCCCCCATGCCCACTGTGGACAAGCACTGGCTGTGACCACAGCTGCCCAGTGGGACTGCAAGACTACTGTGTGGAAGAGACCCTAGTTCAAGTATAGCTTGCTGTAGGCTCCCTCTGAAATGGGGCTGATCATAGCTCAGTTTTCCCACCTATTCTATTTTTCAGCTGCTTTTTTCTTTTCTCACTTCTTTGAAGTTTTGCTTCTTGATTTTCTTTGCTCTCAACAGTGAAATGCCTTGTTTTGCTCTTTGAAGTTAGTACCAGTCTTTTCAGTCACTTCCACATTATGCCTTTGAGAGAGGATCAGACATCATAAAGACTGTACTAATTCCACATTAAAATATTTATAAGACTGAAGTTCACAGCAAAACAAAACTGAAGCCACCATAATTTATGACTAAACATTACTGAGCAATGACTGCTTAATATGAAGGATTTAGGTTTTCTAAAGTTACTAGGTTTTCAGTACTATTTTGTGACTGTCATCCACTGGGCTTCTCTTTTTTCCTAGATTAACAGAAATTAGCAGTAGGTCTCATGAAACCGAAGCAATCAGTTTCTAGGGATCTTTCTGCAAAATAGTGGATGCTGATAGGTTTTTTTCATCTATAGGATGTAGCTTCAGCCCTTCAAAGGCACAACTATCACATGCTGGTATTTGACCTGTCATATAAATTATAACCTGCAGAAAGCTATAAGAACAGTATCTGTTGCACGTGAAGCCCTATTGTGTCATAGCCAGCAAGCAGCTTTTTAGCTATATTAATGCTCATGCTGTAATTTGGTTTTTTTAAATGAAAAGGCAGATATGCCTTATCCCTCATCTTTAAAAGCACTTTCCCCTGGAAGAACTGTGATGGCAATTTTATGGTCAGTTTGTTGCCAGTCTTATGGGATTTAAAATTATTAACTATCGTGTAATAAAGGGTGATTAACAAAGTTAATTGGAACATTTGGCTTTGAATGAAGGTTTATCTCTAAAGGGACTATTGAAATACTTTTTCTCTGAAAAATACAGGGGATAATATTTTGTGCAGAAGAACTCTAGTCCTACTTGTGAGAATGTACAATTGCTACACCTTGTATATCTTATTAATGTGGCTAGTTATGGATATAAGGTGCACAGGAAGGCGGAACTAATCAGATTATGTAATTCCCAAAAACATTTTTTTTAAATTCTTGTTATATATTTTTTATGATGTTTAGTGAGTTTTTTTATTGAAAACCACAGTTAATCAAAGTCTGCCATTTTGTGGTTCACCTGTTCTGGCATTGTCTTCATGGGATCAGGGAAGTGGCTGCATGGGGACAGTTTTGGGGAGGAGAGGATAAGAGAGCAGGGACAGAAAATTTGCATTTAGATGTCCTGTGCTGTCGTCTAAATAGGGAGCATGGAAGTGTGCATTTTCATAGATCGATAATGGTACTTAACAACCAGCTCATTTTGAAGTCTGGTACCACTTCCCTAGTACATTTTGTGAAGCTCTGGCAGTTCTGCACAAACACAGCTTTTTTGGTGGTCATTTCTGATGTTACAAATAAATCCAAAGGAGTATTTAGGTGGAAACTGAACTTCATAGTGTTAATCTGTGAGGATTGTGAGTTGATGCGATGCCAGCTGCAAAAAAACAGGTTTTGGTTTCAGTTACTTTGTAAAGAAATTATTCACAGCAGCCTGTAGCTCTGGTAAAACCAGAGGGGTTTTTTTTAGTATACCTCCTCAATGAGATAATTTTCTTTACAAATTGTAAGGCCTTATTTAAAACGAAAATGGTGATTTGCAGGTCTCCTGAAATACCTGTTTTTAAATTCAGTTTTCCAGTGTCAGATAACAATCAGCTAAGAGTGGATACTAAAATGTGTTTAAATTTAACAGCCAGCTATTCTGCAAAAGGGGGGGGGGGTGTCTGTCTGTGTCTAATGGCTCTCTCTCTTCTTTTAGCAACTCTAGGTTTCTTCTGACATTATTTTGGGGTTCTGAAGACCCTGTTTTTGTCTCTAGTAAAATCGTCAGTGAATTTAAACACAGCTGTGACTAGCACAGCCTTTACCTCTGGACAAGGACTTGTGTTGCCCACCCTCCAGAGCTTCCAGCCACTAGGGAAGCAATGAGAGTGAGATAGAATTGTCCAAGGCAGTGCAAAAATTTGAAAAAAGACACTAGACAGGAGTAAGGAAAGCAGGACTTTGAACTGAGGTGGGGAACTTCCAACATGAGGCATCATTTCAGAACAGAACACTGTGTCTGGGCAAGCCTTGTGCTAATGCTGATTCATGGGGAGCCTGGATTCGCAGTAACTGGGCAGAAATTGGCATGCATATACAGAGGCTTGTGTTTGTGGCTTGCTCAGATAAACAAAAACTTGTAGAGTACCCTGGGAAAAAACTGAAGATATTTTTAGGTGTGGTTTTCTCCCTTTTTCTCCCTCCCTTCTCCCTTTTTCTCCCTCCCCCTGCCTCTTTTTCCCTTTCTCATTTTTGTCTTCCAATATTTTTTCCTTGTCCCCCTTTTCCCCTTTTTTTAAAAAAGCTTCTGCCTATTTCAGATAACCTTTGAAACCTGATACTTTGCAGAAATTATGCTCTCTGCTGCCCCATTTTTTCAGCTCTGACTTCGGGAAAGAGGAAAAAATAAGCCATTTAATTCCAGTTCTTCTTAAAACTGGGACTGTATCGTAACAGCCAGTGATTCTGCAGCATTATAGAAAAGCTAAAATAAGTGACTCCGGTTTGGTAGCTGAGCTGGTTATCTCTGAGCACTGTCTCATGCTGAAGGATGCAAATGAGCACCTTGCTGTTAAAACAACAAAGAGATGATGCTCCATGTTTTCTGTGAGGTGCCCCACTCTTTGTTTGTATTGGCTCTTGAGTTCTTGTAATTCAACTTGCTAACCCAGCTATACGCCCAAAACATTTTCAGACATTTTATAAATCTCAGTTGTCTCACTATATGATCAAAAAAGTGTGAAGCCTGTCAAGTGATAGAAGTTTGGATCATGAACCAGAGGGCAGAGATGGGAGGGAAAACCACAACTCTTGGTTCTTTCAGCAACAGAGAAATATTAACTTAAACCAAGGTCTTAAACCACTTTGTGAAGTCGTCTTCTCAGAAGATGCTTGTAGGATGTTGGCAAGAACAGTGGAGTGGTTAAGAAACTTAATTTTGCCATCCTGTGTTCGTGGATAGAAAGATAGTGCTGCTGCTTGTAGAGGAATACATCTGGTCCAGGTAGCTCTGCTGGCAAGCTGCAGAGTGAGATGCAGATTGAGCTCAGGGTGGGAGCCAGGCACAAGAGGCTGTGAGCTGCCAGCCTTTGGGATAACAAAGAGCACCAGGGCCAGGCAGGCAATGAATAGTGAGAGAGATTGTAGAAGCTGGGAAATGCTGGTCTTTTGGATAAGAAAAGAGAAGACAGGTGACAGCAGCAGCAGCGGGGGTGCATGGACACAGAGAGGAAGAGGGAGACCTGCCTGCAGATGGACGTGAGGCTGTAAAAGCCCAGGGGTTCCTTGGTTGGGATCCTCCTTGGGGGCACCAGCTCAGGCTGTTCCTGTGTTACTGTGCTGTGAATAAATGGCTTTATGGAACGAGACATCTGAGACTCTGCTGTGGGAAACCCAGGGCTGAACTGGCAAGGAAACCTGGTCTGGCTGTGGATGGGTGTGTGGGGAGCCAAGGGGGACACGTCGATCGTGGGAGCTGCATGCTGCGAAGGGGCTTTGACCCAGCAGTGTCAGACTCTGGCCTTGGGATGTGACTGCCAGGGAGTCTCATGAATGGTCAGACTGGGAAGTTTCCTTAACGTGCTTGAAGTTTTTGTGAGCAGCAAATCATATCAATTTCTGTGTTTACATTATTTATATGGCTATTATAAGTTCCTTTCATTAGTCTTGGGTAGGGATGATTAACTTCTAGCTGAATGGTGTAACAGCAATGTAAAGCTGTTAGACTCTTCCTCACCTGCTATTATTCAGAGTGAAGGATTGTCTCCACTCCATCACCTTAGTACCTGAAATCCAGCAAGTGGGTTTGGTCCTCCTGCAGCTCTCTCTGGGGAAAGAGCAGACAGCAGCAGCTCTCTCCTCTCTGCCTGCGGAACTGAGAACCTGGGGGTGCCACTGCTAGCTTTAAAATTGTATGTGATAAGCCAGCCATGCTTCACGACTTCGGCCAAACTGGATTGTGGCAGGCTAACCTTCCTGTCCATTCAAACAGTGTCAAAACAGAGAACAGCTGCTTTGACAGTGCTGTGTGTATTTATTTATATTTGTATGATGTGACATCCTTTTGGAGGTCTTGGTAGATAATATGGGAAGTTCTCATCCAGATAAAACTTAGAACCAGAAGCACCAAGTCACCATCACCAGTCCAAGAGTGTACATGGCCACGCGGATGTGCGTGTTCTGTCTCCTCCTGATGGTCAGGCATTCCCTCTGGATGCTGTGGGGTTCTTGGGGCTGAGACGCCTGGTCTGAGCTCCTGAGCCTGTCAGCTGCCTGACACCCCAGAGTTCTGAGAAAATTACCTGATGTAGTTGCCAAGCCACTCTCCATGGTATTTGAAAAGTCTTGGCAGTCAGGAAAAGTTGCAGGTAACCGGAAAAGAGGAAACATAGTTTTTAAAAGGGTAGAAAGGATAACCTTGGACACTACCAAAGTATCAGCCTCACCTCAATGCCTGGGAAGACAATGGATAGATCCTTCTAGAAGCTGTGTCACATAGAGGCCAGGGAGGTGATTCAGGACAGTGATTTGTTGTCCTGTCTTGCTTCCAAGGTCAGGATGTTAGTCCATACTCACTTTCTCTTCATGCTATCCTCCTTCCCAACTCTATGTGTCTCATTTCTTAAGACTGTTTGGAGGTGTCAGCCAGAAGGTGCAGATCCTGAACTGTCTGAATGTCTTTGCCAGATATGGGGTAGAGATGGTCCTGTAGAAAACAGGGTGAGTTGCTGTGTGGATCAGGGGTTCCTAACACCTGTCTACTTTATTCTGCATTAGTCTGAGCCTCTTACACTAGGGCCTCAAGGAAAAATCCAGAAGGTAAAGGACGCTTCTGTAAATCACAGTTGGTGGAAGAGGTAGGGCTGATGCGTGGATGCCAGAATTCATCTTTGCCCTCTGATAATGGTACAATTCCTGAAGCTGTAAACATTTGTGATGAAACCAGGGGCCTTTGATTGGTTGTTTTTTAAATTATGTAATCGCTTAGTGCTAATTGAACTGGTTGCTTTGTTGTTACTGTGATATTTTTAAGGCTAAAATACAGAAATTCTGGCATAAACTTCTTGCTTTTGCGCGCAGAACTATTCCAAGGTCACTACATTGTGTTTTAACATATATGCTTGCTTGCTTTGTCAGTCAGTGTGGTTTTTTGCTTTTGTTTCGTTTTTTAATGTGACTGCCCCACCCAAAATTCCTCAAAGCTTAACAGGGAGAGAGGTGCAAAGCCTGTGAAAGTAACTAAGGTTTCTTGGTGTCCTAGAGAGGGGAATACTAATGCAGCCCTTTTATCATTTTGATAGATGCAAGTGAGTTCCCCGAAGTTGCATCAAATTCAAAGGATAAGGAAGCCTGGCCCAATAATTTCCATTTAACAAACAGTAATTTCTAAAAGGATTTGTTAAACATTTTTAAATGTTTATGGTACCAGGAACTGCTACCTATGTTATTTTTCATGCTACAGTTATTTTGAAAAAATCATCTGGTAAAGTACTCCTGCAGTTAAACTAGCTGTTATTTTGCAAAATGATATTTTATTGGATTTTTTTGTTGTGTACCCCCAGATGACCTTAACATGTACCTTAAGCATTACAATTAATGCTCAGAAGCTTTGGGCTTATCTAATGGCTGCCCTCATGAGATTGATGAGGAATTGTCTAGAAGTCAAAAAATTTTGAAAAGCTTGCCAATCTTTTATATTGCATTTCATGTTTGCATTCCAGTGTGTTCTTGGAGCCTGCACTGTTAACCCTACATGTAATTCCCATGAATTTGAATGGTTTAGGATTCAGCTGCACCTTTACATCCCATGGTCTCTTATAGAACTTGTGAAATATTTTTTCTCTCCTCCAAGGTAAATGCCTGGAGAGTTTTGATGGGCATCTCTTATTTATGGAATTCGCTTCTGTTCACAGAACCACAGAATTGTTAGGGTTGGAAAATACCTTTCAGATAATCAAGTCCTACTGCCAATCCAGAGCCACCCCCATGTTCACCATTAAGTCATGTCTTCAAGTGTCATATCTACATATTTTTCTGTGGATAAGACATTGGAGCACCATAAGAAGTTAGTGATATTGTGGTTTTAAATAATGATATCTGGAATATTGCTTGTGGTAGTGATATTTCTTAGTTTCATGGGTATTGTGTTTTACTGCATGTGCTTGATCAGCAAAGAGAGGGATTAGAAAGATGAGGCAGAAATAAAAAATTTGTTTGGGTTTTTTTTTATACATGCAATCTGAAAAATGTATTGTCCCAAATAAAAGAAATTATTGCAGTGTGCATTTTCTCAGGTTAATCTGTTGCTGCTCATCTGGTAGAAAAATATCTCTCTTTTTTTGTTTGTTTGGTTTTTTGCTGGGAATGAAATATGAATCAATATAATGTTAAGCTTTAAGTCTAGTTTGTAGCTTCTTAAAATTTTTTTTTCTCTTTTTTTAGTTGAAGCATCTTGTCATAATGGAGGTGAAACAATGGAAACAATTGAGGCTGCTGAAGCACTTCTTAATATGGACTCCCCTGATCCTATGTTGGATGAAAAAAGAATGGGTAAGTTTTTTAAATGAAAATCCAATCTGTATTTGCCAGGTTTATTTCTAAAAAGAGGAGCGATGCACTGCAGCATGGTTGCAAGGAATTGATAAGATTTTTTTTTTGTAATTTCCAGATATACCCATAGTTTGGGTATCAGAAATCCAGTGTTGTAGGCAATGAAGGATTTAATTGTCATGCCAGAGTTGAGCAGGAAAGGAAAGAGTCAAAAATTACAGAGGGAATGTGTGAATGAAGTTGGATGGTTTAGATTGCAGTGTTTTGTTTGGTTGATGTTTAAGTTGTCAGGATAAAAGAATATACACTTACCTTTACAGATTGCCTTAAATATGAATGTGTGATCAGCAGATAAATGTGCTTTTTGTGGGGTACACTGTGACACCAAATTTTTCTAGTTTAGTAGTGCTTCTGTGTTAAGTGTTGGCACATATATTGAATTATACCTTAGTCTTCTCTCACTTGAATGACTGAAGTGTCAGAGTTTGATTTTATTCTATGTTAAAGTTTTTGGTCTAAAGCCAGCTTTTTCAAGTCCACATGGCTGTGTGAAAATACTCCTTTTGTCCCTTTCCCTCAAGCAACTATGTTTGGTGCAACTGAAGAGGAAGAAATGGTGCCTCCTATCACACACGTGTCAGTCACGCTCGATGGGATTCCTGAAGTAGTGGAAGTTCACCAAGCCTCAGACCCTTATGCTGAGTCACCAGAGACTCCAGAATTTGAACAACCAAAGAAGAAAAAAGGTAAGATGCTACCAGAGAACAGCAGTGTGGAGCAGGAGAGTAGGGGCTGACATGGTTGCTTCCTTGTGGGTGTCTGGAACCATTCTGGGTGTCAGGCCAAAATAACTGAGTGAGCTCAGTCAGAAATGCAAGGAAAGCATTTTCTTCTTGTGTAGTGTGAACACATGTACAGGTGCTTAGATTAATGATGTCGTAGATGTAGCAACGATGGCTTATCCTACAAGAATCTCTGCTTGTTCCTATTTATGGTTTCTTCTTCAGGGCAGAATTGCAATATAAACCATAGAGCTTTTGCCACTGAGAATTTGGAAGTACTTTCATTAGCTCTTACTTAGCTTCAACTGAAGATACTTGATCAGTTCAGAATATGGGATGAGAATGGGGAGGGATTTTTAGCTTTTCTGATCAGCCTTTTTAGAGGCTGATTTTTAAATTATTATTAATAGCTGCATGCTATAGTAAGTGTTAGTCCCATTTGTAGTATATTACATTTACAAAGTGTAGTGATGTTCCACTGCAGTCAATGCTGTGCCAAAGAGTCAAGAAACTGTGTTAGCCAGACATTCTACTCCTGTTTTCCCACCCTGCTTCAGCGTGGACCCCATTAGAGGCTCTGAAACTGGTGTCTGCAGGAAAAGAGAGTCTTGCTGTACATATAGATATTAAATGCTCTTGCAACAAATTAATATAAAAAAAATAAATGAAGTAGGTTATGTTTCTGGGGCTCATCCTAGAGCATGAGGACTTTAATCGTTTCCCCTGTCTTCCACAATAAGACTTCTACTACCCAGTCATACCCCTGTGGAATTGGAGTGCATTTTTGCTGCTACTTTTGCTGCTAATTCCAAATGTTGGGAGAGAGACCATATTGGCCTGTGAAGATCTTTGGGAAGCCTCCTGAGCCCTGTGTATGTCAAAAGGTCTCATAGGGATGGGTGTGGGTCAGGAAGTCTCAGATTCCCCTGAGAAAGCTGAACTGAAACTGCTGTGGAGGAGAGCTTTACCAGCAGCTGCCCCGAAAGTGCTGCTGGGGAAGCTACTGTGGCTGTGCACACTCCTGTGAGATAACCAACTGTAAGAGGATTTTAAATTGGGGGGTTTTTGTTTGTTCTTTTCTTCCCTTCTTCTTTTTTAATGTTAACTGCTGTGTGGGTCAAAACAAGGAGCTGCTGCCTGCCAGACATTTAACCTCTTTGGTTTGATGCTTTCATAGTCTTTCGTGTTGTGCTTCTGCTTACTCCCACTCCTTCCTCCTCCCTAGCTGTAGGTTAGAAAACCAGTTTCTTCACAGAAAGTGTATTTGTTTTAGAAAAAAAAAATGCTAGAAAAGATGCATCAGCTTAGTGTTTCATTAAGTACTGGTTTTCAGTGAACTCAAGGCTTCCTAAAGTACATGGTATGGCCTAAGTGATGTAGAAGTGTTACTTCAAAATGTCCGGAGATTTGTAAAGCATTGTTGTACAGGAATTGCTGCAAAATGCTATTAAGTTTTTTGTGCACTTTAAGTTAATGTGCAGTGTGTGTGTGGGATTCTTTTGGGGTTTTGTTTGTAGGTTATTATTTTTTTTTAAGTACGCTCTGTTTCCCTTCTTTTTGGTCAATTCTGAGGCATGGCAAAGGATGGTGGTCATTTTGCCCTGTCCATATCACTCATGATTTATAGGGTTTTTATAGATTCTATAGACTTCTTTTATAGACTTCTAGGATATATACAAGCCATTAGGTAAAATTAGAGAGATTCACAGTGCAGATCATTGCCAGCTAACTGGGCCAGAATGGCACTGCCAAGTAGAGTTCCTCCAAGAGAATGTTCACCAGAAGCAATGAGGTGGTTTCACTTCCTTTCCTTTTGGCCTTATTGCTGCAGCAGGAGAACTGTATCCACCCATCTGCTCAACTCCAAAGCCGTGTTCAGCATGATGTTTGTACTTACGAAGGTCTGAGCACTGAGCTGCTCAGCTATGGATCAGAAAGACAGGAAAAGCAAAGGGATGTCAAGCAAAGAAACTTGAAAATTTCCCATATTAATACCTTCAGTTCTGTTTTGCCCTGGAGGATATCTGGCAGCAGGTGGCCACATAAGTTATATACATAATATTTTAAATATATGTTATTTGTTTTGTTTGTACATGCATTTTTAAAAACAAAACTCAGTGAAAAGAATGTAAGAAAATGGATTTTACATTTTCTGGTGTGGTATAAGATATTTAATCAGGATGAACATTTCACTGTATAATATCACCTTAATTTGTAGCATGAATTTCTAACATGAAGTGTTTTACAGCCATGGAAATAGGGAAGTGAAAACACCAAATGTAAATCCAATTAGTTGTCCAAAATTATGGTAGGCCCATATAAGGCTTTTTATCCTTCCTCTTTGTAAAATTCTTTCCTAAAAAGGAATTTAGTAATGCACTCTGAAAAACAACAAATTCATGCTCTATTGAAGCAAAGGAGGAAGCATGCTAGTGCTTAATGGACTTTTAAAAAATATCTTCTTTTAAACAAAGGAAACATATCCGATGTGTCTCTGTTAACTGTTTTTTTGATGGTATCAGTCAGTGCCTGGAGATTATAGCTCACAGTGTAGTCTAAAACTATCCAAATAAAGTATCTCTAGCCCAGATATACAGCCGTAATAGCAATACATTTCTGTAAACAAGTTTCACATCCTTCACTGGTTTCTAATTTTGGATGACTACTTACAGAGTCCTGAAATAGTCTAGGCTGAAGAAAGAGAGCTTAGAATTAGTCTTGCAGCCATAGTCATATGTAGTAGGCTAGGTTATCTCTAATCAGAAGTGCATAAATTATATGGGATCAGTTCTTAAGTTTCCTGAAGCTGACTAGGAGTAGTTCAGTCCTGACCTAATTGAGCTCTCATCCACTTCATTTCCTTTTAAGAACTGAACTCATTTAGACATAATGTCTAAATTAGTGATATCAAAATAACACTCCCTACTCCTTAATGGCTACATTTACACCTATTCAAGAGGGGAAAATGAGACAACAGAGTCTTCCCACAGCTCTAATGGGGAAAGCACTTCTGTGCTCTAACGGGCTTCTTCTGTGTTAGAAGCTCATCCACAAGAGTGAATTCATCTAGGACATTTTAGGTAAAATAGACATTTCTGCAACCTGCAGTGGTGAGTGCAGAAAAGCTGCTACAAATGTACTCCAGTTGTTCTTTATCCTTTTGTATCATGATATATTAAGAAAACAATGTTGTAGATTTTCCTCCTTCCTACCTTCTTTCAAATCAAGGGCATTACTGGCCAAAACACTGGATGTCGTTTGTGTCCCGTTCTCAGTCATGAATCCTGTCTGGATGAAAGCAAGAAAATTAGAGGTTTTGTTACTCATTATAGGTCTCTCAACTAGCTATCCCATGCCTCTCCTCCCCCATGCACTGTCAAAAAAAAAAAAAAAAAAGTTATACAGATGGACTTAGCAAGATTGCTAATGTCAAAAAGTGAGTGCTTAAGCCAAAGTTTCTTATGATTTCTCTGTAGATACTGGAAGGTTAAGATGAAGGAAATAGTGCAGGCTGGCACTGAGCTTTTTTTTTTTTTTTTTTTCAGAGCTAGTGAAAGATGCTCTCTCACTCTGCAGCAGAGCTGTTTCCTTACTAAAACAGCCCCTCAAAACAAAACCAAAACTGCAAAGTTAGAGTGTATGGGATTGCACAGACTTTTTGGTCTTGCCTCTTTAGAACATCAACTCTTTTGAAGTGCAATAAATACAGAAAAAAAAATTCCTTTAGATTTTTAACTATGGCAGTGTTCTATCTGAATTAGAAATATGTTTTTCTGAGTCTTTTATATGCTTAGTCTATTCTACCTCACAAAAGATTATAGGTAATAATATAAGTAACATCAATGTAGTAATGGGGCACTGCAAAACCTGGTAAGATAAATTTAATGAGAAATTCCTGAAGGCTTCTGATTAATTACATCACCTGTAAAAGCTGCCATAACAGGGAATGAGAACTAATAAAAAAATAGGTTCAAGGTTTTATGTTGAAAAATATTGCACCATGACTTAGCTTTTTTGTTCCCTTTTGTGTCAGTAGTTGATTTCTCAACATTTTCAAATGAGTGCTCTTCATTTTTGTGATCAGTTTTAAGTAACTTCTTCCTTTTAATCTTCCTCACCAGAGAGTCATGATGCTTATCACTCTAAAAACTGGTATTTTTTAAAATCCTGTTATTGTTTCTTCTGATTTTCATAAACAAGTGACTTCCCTTTACCTGCAGACACTGTAAAAAAGGTGTAAAAGACAATAGGACTGAAAAAAATGTTTGTTTCAGATGACAGTGTAGTTTGCTGCTGTCAGTGTACTTGCAATAGATTAAACAAGGAGACAAGCTTGTTTTGTCCCTACCTTCCATTTTGGCAATGAGTGAACATTATAGTACTCTGTATTTTATCTAGCTTTTCCTGTTTAAGCCCTTACACATAGTTAATAGCTTATTTTTCTCATCTTGTCTGTTTCAAGTGCTCTTAAGATTACCTAAATAGCCACAGAATTTTCCAATGGACGTAGACTTCAGGAAAGTGCATAGTGTAGCCTTTTTTTAGAAGTACAGTAAGAGCACAGGACATCCATCTGCCATTGAAGAAGTTCAGCACAGAACTAAGTTCCCAACTTACTAGAAATTAAATCATTTTTGAATTGGAGAAACAAATCTCTTCCCTTTTTATGTCCTTTTTTTTTTTTTTTTTTTTTTTTTTTTAATAATTTTCTTAAGATGCAGTTGACTTACTGGTGATTTATTTCAGGGAAGAAACCAAAACCCTCTCGTTCTGAGTCACCTACTACAACTCCAAACATATCTGTGAAAAAGAAAAACAAAGATGGAAAGGGTAAGTCAAAATAGTTGTCACCAATATGTTTAGGAGAACACAGTTTCTGAGTAATTTGGAAAAAGAAAAGATTTACGAGTTCACTTGTGATGCAAATATAGGTCTTATGTTCAGGGGTGGTTAACATCTCAAGGCAAGGAAAAGATGAGCACATGAGTTTTCTTGGTGAAATACACAGTTCCTTAGGAGAATAATGTATTTGTCACTTTAGTTGCAAGGACTCTTGGAAACTCTTCAACATCCCTGCAGAGTTTGCTGTGTTTTGAGTGAAGTCTTGGGGAGTGCTTTGCATTATATTAATGGTTCTTAGGCTGTGGTTATTTTGACAGATGATCTTTGAAAATGTGTTCCATCTGTATGTGTCTAATTCTGCATGAGTCTTACCAAGGTTGCCAGTTGGCAACAGGAAGTACCAAGTCTTGAGTTTTAAAAACAGTTATAGCACAGCTTGAACACTTGGGCAGAAAACTTGGGGCTTTGATACTTTCATTCCTTCTGTGTTTAAAAGGTAGATATAAAAATAAATGCCACATAACTGATAAAATGAATCATTTGCTCAGCCTGAACTGTTCAGTAGTGCCTGTGAGTTTTGTCAACAGCTTTGACAAAAGAGTTGCTTTGCTGTGGGGTCCAACGCTGTACCCGTGCCCAGGCTGGTGTTTGAAAGGCAGGCTGACTCCCAGCCCTGGTGAGCTGTGCTGCCATCAGCGGGAGCTGGAAATGAGCCTCCCGTGTCACAGTGCCTGCTGGTACACCTGGGGACAGATATGCTTGCATGCATGCAGTACTTGCCCAGCCAGTCCTGGACACTGGTGGCAAAAGAATGCTGCACTCTTGAGGTCAGAAAAATCTCTACTCTGACAAATGAGTATGTTGAGTTTTTTTTTTTTTCTTGAAGAGGCATTTTATGCAATAACAGGAAGAAAAACCTGTTGGCTATCAATAAATTTCTATATATGCATGGTTGTATTTTTTTAAATTAAAAAGTCATTTTTCTGTAAAAATGAAAGGAGTATCAGAGAAACATCCAAGTGGTGCTCAAATGAAATTATAGAAAATATTGAAGCAGCCAGCCACAAAATTAAAAGGCGGAAGAGTCTAATAGTTCTGTCAGTGATAGCAAGAATACTCCGTAATACAAATTGTCCATCATTACAAAGTTGCTAATTCTGAAGGGAATAAAATGGAGCACGTTGCCTCAAAGCACTGCTTGTTATGAAACCCATTTGTTTTACATTTTTAGGAACACAGAATTGAAGTAAAAAACATAGTAATATGACCATCCGTGGCACGGAAGCAGCTAGAAAATCACAAGAGCTGCCTGTCTGTTACCTAGGGAGAACTTGTATGCTAAAATTACAAGCTCTCATACAATTACATGATACCATGAATAGAAAAAACTGAATTTTCCACATATTGCTTTTTCTGCTGTGACTCAGAGGAGGTTGAATATTCTGCCTGTAAGTAAAGCAAACCTCTTTTTTGAAGGTTGTCTTCTTCACAGTGATTTTTAGTGGTTAAGTGGTGACAAATTTTCAGGTTGCCTTGATGCAGTTGAGTATTTTTAGTCTAGACTACAACAGAAACACCCTGGATTAGGTGGTAAATTGCTGGGAATGCTCTCACTCCTGCGCGACATTGTGTCTTGCCTAAGCAGTCTGGTTTTGGCTTTGGGGTATCTGATGGGAGGCTGGCTTACGTAAACTGGGAGACATTTTTTGCAAAGGCAGTGTTTTTCTCTAGGAATGCTCATTTTTCTAGTTTCCACCTGCTGAAGGAGCTGCTAACATTTTTGTATTGGCAATGCTGATGACTTTGAATATTTGCTAAATATAGTTTATAATATAGTATTATAGGAATTTCAATTTTTAAGAGGTCTCTTATTGGAAAAAGGTTCATTAAAGTTGTAAAAATCTACTGGGCTAAATTGAAGCTATGAAAAGAGATCCTGTCACCTTCTGATCAGCTGGGCATCATTTTTTGCGGAACTTCAGCACACGCTCTCCTTGCTGTTTTTGCACAGCTACTTGTGGGAGGTGATGCAAGAAGTTTTTTCTTGCTTTCTCAGACTAACAACTAAGGAGTTTTTGTGCAGCTTCAGATTCCCAAAAGAACATCAAACACCAAAAGCCTTAAAAAAAAAAGGCAGGAAAGAAAGGTCTTATTAGTTGCATGAGTTTAGACACCTTAAATGTGGTTTTGGAAAAAAAAGTGCTAATTTTGTGCTAGTTTTAAATATTCACCATCTGTGATTTCAATACTCTTTCTTTATATCTGGTAAACATTGAACAGATGTGACAGATTTTCATATAGAAGTGTTTGTCCCCACTTGTTTCTAAAATGAAATTTGGATGTTGTCTATCAGCAAGCACATGCACTCACTGGATTTAAAAAAATTACCTTTTTCTGTACTTTGTTGTTGAAGGTTTGCCTGCCTCAGCTGATTGCTCCACATAAATCTCATTGTTAAAGGCAAGGATTTTGTTTAGCCTTTTAAAGGATTATAACACTCATCTCGATTCAGCAAAGCATCTAAGCAACAGCTTAGTTTGCAGCATTTTCAGGGGGTAGAACTGAACATGTTCCTTTTCAAGGTAAAGCAATAGCGACTGCTTCTGTAACTGGATTAAGCAGGAGGCAAATGGGCACATGGATGCCTAATGCTGTCTAATGTTGGTGGTCCAACATTGGCTTAGCTTACAGAGTGGCTGGGGTATTTGGATACCTAGATTATGATAACTCACAAGATTATAATAACTTCCCCTCCCATGCCCTTTCATCACTATTTTCTAGTCTTGATGATATATTATAATGTATTTTGTAAAGATACCAGCCTCTTAATTTTAAGATTATTTGCATCATTAATAAAATATGGCCAAATAACTTATTTTTCTTTCTTCCTTTTTTCTTTGTTTCGTTTGTTTTGTTTCTGAAATTCTTTTATTCTAGGAAATACCATTTATCTCTGGGAGTTCTTACTAGCACTGCTCCAGGACAAAGCTACATGTCCTAAATATATCAAATGGACTCAAAGAGAGAAGGGCATTTTCAAACTGGTAGATTCCAAAGCTGTGTCCAGATTGTGGGGAAAACACAAAAACAAACCTGACATGAATTATGAAACAATGGGTAGGGCTCTCAGGTATGTGCATTTTTAATAGTAGATTGTTTTTGTTGCTTTAGTGTTTGTATACATTAAATGCCTCCTCTAATTTGAATAATGCAAAAATCTAATATTCTATAGGTTTGGGAAATGAAAATGTTATTTCAGCAAAATAAATTAGCTAACTAAAATTTACCCTCACTAACCTCAATTCCAAGTCGCTCACCTTCAGTTTCAGCATAGATGTATTGAAAGTACGTTTAGCAGTACTGCTGCTGAACTGCATCTTCAGAGTCATGCACAGATGTGTAAGAGACTGAAGATTTCAAGTGGGGAAAACCTTTTGCATAAAGTTTCAATCTATTTTCAAAAAAAACTCGCCAACATTCATGTGTATTCATTAAGTTATTTCTATTTGTTGTACATGATTCTATCTCCAATGGAAACTACAGTTTTAGAATTCAGTTCTAGTTTCATGTCTCTGAACTTGTGTGTACAGACAGCTCTAAAACATAGAATTGTGTGGCACTGCCTGTCAGGCTGGGAGTTTTCTCATACATAAAAAAAATGCAAAATAAGTAGACAACCATGGAGCTTCAGTCTTATCAGCTGATTGATAATTGTCCAACAGAGCCATATGCATTTCTTTTAATTTCCCCTCATCTTGGTGTGCGTAATTTCAAGTTGTCCTACTAATTTGCAAATGTAACAGAGATAGTGCTCTCCTGTCCTCTTCCCTTTGCTTTGTTGTAGCTAAAATGTCTGCCTGTGCTTATTGGTGAATAAACACGAATTCAGATTACTGAAAGAACTGTAGGAATCAAAAGGAAAATTGAAAGTTTCATGCAACTTTTTACAGTGTGAGTTGATAGCAGATCTGCCAAGTCATGGAGTTGTTTTCTTTCTCCTCAGAGTTATCTAAGTTTTAAGTTAAAAGGTGGCATGAAATACCAGTAAAAAAAAAGTTCTTTGAGGAAAAAAAGTACACTATTGGCCACTTTTTATAATAAAAAACTAGGCACATAAAGTTTTTTTTCACTTGATGGTGCTGTGTTTATTTTCTAAGAGTTTTGTTGCTTTGTTTTGTTTTTGGCAAAAAATCTGTGTAACTTGATGTGTGTGCACCTTAAACAGATACTACTACCAAAGGGGAATCCTTGCTAAAGTAGAAGGTCAGCGCCTGGTGTATCAATTTAAAGACATGCCAAAAGATCTCATCTATATTGATGATGAAGATGCCAGCCCTAGCACTGAATCATCAGATTCAGCTCTGCTCTCACCTGCTGTGGCCAACAGAAACCAATCAAGCAGAACTAGAGCGTCTGCAAATGGAGGGACAAAGGGAGGATCAACCTCAGTGGTAAAAACAGGAAACTCGAAGCCTGCTAAGCTGAAGGAGCAAGTAGAAGTTGTACAGCAGCAGACACCTGGCTTGACTTCAGAAGTTTTGAGGACAATGCAATCTCCACAGCCAGTACAACCCACTCAGCTTTTTCGGACAGTTCATGTAATGCAGCCATTGCAGCCCCTCGCAGAAGGACAAGCAGCCGTAACTAATAATGTTCCAGATGAATCGTTAAATTCCTCAGTTCAGAATATAAGGTAAGAAAATGTACAGAAAATAAATATTTGAATAATAATAAATTCACTGGATGATGGCTAGATAGACTTGATTATTTGTTTTGCTTCCAAGAAATGCAAGTCTTCCAGTTTGGTTGAAGTGAAATGATGTCTTTGTGGCTCATCCTAGGAATTTAGAGTTACTACAGCATAATATGACAGGTACACACATAACTGTACTGCCTATGGTGGAGGGAAGCTCATCTTTTCCATGGTGTTCAGCCTGATGCATGTAATTTAGAAAGGAAAGAGATACAACTTCTCTTTAAAATTGACATTTTTCAGTTTTGTCCCACAGCAGAAGCTGTGTTTTCATGTCTGCTTTTACACTGGTGTCCTTGCTTTTGAATTATACATGGTGGGTCTGCATGATACCTTCAGAATTATTTTCCTTCTTGCTTCTTAATTTTTCTTTGTAACAATTTTTTTTCATCTTTTGCTTTTTTTGTATTGTCTCCAGTTACAGGAAAAGCTGCATATTACCTGCTCTAGCATTTTGCTGCTCTTACAAGAACAAGTTCTGATTGTAGGAAACAATTAACAGACTAATCCTTTGGGAGCTGTGCATCTGCAGACATTTGGGAGCCAGTCATGCTTCCATACTTCATTTGTGAGTCAGCTAGCTAACACTACACAGCACTTAAGCATCATGACTCTTTTCCACTTACCCCTTAGCAGCAGGGTTTACTTGTAAAAATGGACAAGGGCAACATAGTAAAAGGAAAGCAGTACAGACATAATTGAGGCTATACTGAACCATATAAGTCAGCAGAACAACAATACTAAACATGAATAGGGGGAAAGTTCAGCAATTTGCAGAGTTAAGTAGCTCTAGGCTAGACCTACACTAGATTATGGATCACAGACAATATCAGTAGTATAGATTTTATAAGGAATGGTAACAACAAACAGAAGTATCAGTAAGACTTAAGGCAGGAAAGAAGTCCAGCCAAATGTTTGGAAAGCTATTCATTGACATTATGACATCCAATTACTGCATTACAGTATTTCCCAGTCAGACCTTGGGTAATAAGCTAAGGGAAAAAATAGTAGAGATCATGCATTTGTGAAATTCAGATGAAACAGAAGCCTTAAATCCTTAGAATTCTGTATTACATTAGTTCACATCCATTGCTTTTAACCAGAACATTATTCCATGAAGTCTCTAACTGTACTTAGCCAAGATGACAAAATGAAGAAGTTCAAAAAGAAGCATCAAACCTTTTCAGAATGGTACAGAAGTACTGCTGATTAAGAAAGTTTATACTAAAGGGTCTGAGCAGTTAGAGTGAAAATAAAATCTACAATCCAGACTTTTTTGGTGTGCTTTTAACCAGGTTGGGACAAGCTACGAAATAGGTGCTGTTGAGTCCTGTGCAATAGACACTGCCCATTTCAGGCTCCCAAAATACAATTTATGACAGATATATTTCTGCTCAGCTTCAAAAGGCAAGCTTCAAATAGTTAGTTGAGGTAGGATGACATACTGAACATTTTTCAGAGCATATGTTTTAGCTCTTGTTTTATAATAAGGCTGAAACAAAAGTTTGTTCAGACAGCTGTAAATCATAGGCAGATGAACATACACATTCTGAATTGCTGCAGCAGGGCTTCCGTAAGGGTTGAAATGAATGGTCTGCATGGTTTGAAAATGTACAGCAGGTATGGCTACCATTGTAGACTAAGAATTGTCAAACCTTCTGATGTATGCACATACTGTGTGGGGCTGTGGTTGGAGCCTCTTTTTAGAGGGAAGCGTGAGGACAAATAGCAGCTTTGGTTGCCAGTTGCTGTTCAGTGGCTGGGGCAGGTAAATAGTCAAGATCATTTGGGCAAAACAGCAATCAGGTTCTGGTAATGATCCTCAAAAGGTTTTCTTATGCATGCCAGGTAATGGTTGCGTTCTGCCTTGAAGTGTGAATATCTTGAACCCATATAATTTGTCTTATGCAATTTAGTTTCTAAAGTTTTATTCTGGTTTTTTTTTTTTCATTTTATTCATTCATACATTTACTTATGTATATGTTCACCCCTCTTCTTCATTAAATAAATATTTTTCCCTCTGCAGCAATTTGCTTCTGTTCTGTTGTGAAAAGAAAAAAATAATAGAGAAAATATTGAGCGTCTTTGAGGTCAAAAAAATTGGTTTCTTAACACTTAACTGTAGCCTTCAGAGAAAGTTTGAATGTGCATCTTCTCTGTAAAGGTTCTTGGTAAAAGAATCATGTTTGAAGATTGTCGTGAAGTGCTTGTGTCATCATCCCTGACCTGCACTAGGCAGCACCGCCTGGTAGAGACCACTCCCAAAGCATCAGTGGGAGAGTGTTGCAGCCCAAGGCCCAAGTTCCCCAAGGCCTCTTGGCAATTCTCAAAGGAATGGACATGTAAATCTGTGGTTGGCTCTTCACAAGAGAGGCAGTGACTTCATTTATAGCTGCACAAAGCTTATATCTTACTCTGAAGTGGAAAGGTCTTGGCTTTTGGATGGCTTTGATGTGCTTTTTGGAGAAGTTTTGGTGCTGCTCTATGAAAGGAAGACAAGGAGAAGTGTTACTTACAAAGGATAAAAGTCTCTTCTTCAGCCCTAGTGCTTAAACAGAAAGGCTGTGTTATGCTAACCGAGGCTTGGGAAACCGGGCAGGAGCAGGGTCAAGTCAAGCAAACTGGGTTTTGCTGACTGAGGAAAACATCTAGTATCCCCAGTGGGAATATTCAGAATTGTAAACACACTGCTGTTCTGCAGGTCTAACTGTTCTGGCTTGGTGTATGCAGACCCAGTAACTGCAGACTCCAGTCGTGTAACTGGGAGCTGAGTTTGGCACCACATGTTTGCAGTGAGAAGACAAAACAAAAAATGCCTCTCTAGATGGGCCTTTTATCGCTTACTCCTTCCGATGAGCCAGCTTTTGTGAGGGAGAAAAGGTTTTTCTTTGAATTCTGTGCTTGTAAAATTATTCTGTTTAAACCAGAATAATAGACACAGGTTAACCAGAATTCCTGGATTATTGGAGTAATTGTGTTTTGCTTTGGAATTAGGAGGCACTGGCCTGGGATTCAGCTCTGTGTACTATTGGCTCATTCTCAGCATTAAAGAGCATTCTTTCTGTTGCTGCAGAAAGCGCACCTCTCCTGTTGGGCTAGCAACTTACCTTGCCTAGGGCATCCTACAAGCTGAAAAGTGCCCATGTTTGGACAAGTAAATTTCTCCCTTAAATGCTGAGGACTGCAAATGAAGAAACATGCTTTTTATTTACCTTTAATCTAGAGTAGTAGTGATTTAAGATGGAGTGAAAAGCGATTTTTATGTTACTTACAGTTCAGAGAATATCTGAATATCATATAGGGAGTATATCATATCAGAGAATATCATATAGAGAGTAATTTTAACTTATACGTCTGTCTCTGTTATTGGCTGTATGGGACATGGCTGAACCTTCTAGATGGCAGCTCTATATGCTAAGAAACGTGCAATTAGCTGACTTCTGACAGACCCTGTGCAATGTTTTACCACACTTCAGGTTTTAATCTGTTTCTGTCAAAATTCAGCTTGCTGTCTCCTTTCTGTACTTGCAAGCTGTCATTGTGGTAGTTTGGACAGAGCATGTAAGAAGACCAGAATTTTGACTCGGTTCTGTAGCTGGGGGAAAGCTAATACAGGCCACAGAGGACCAAGGGGATATGCTCTCTGTGTTCACTTCTGAATGCGAGAACCTTGACATGACGAATCAGCCACAGTTTTCATCTTGATCTTTTTGCAACCTTCAAGATAGAAAATGTCTTCTGAAGGTGACAAGCATGGATTGCAGTGGCAGGATCCTGATTCAAGAGGAGGAGGAAGTAGCTGAACACAAATCATGTTTTTTCAAGGCATGAGCATTCTGAATAAGAACAGCAATGAAGCCAAGAATTCACCAACACCATGTGTTGGTCCCAGTAAGCAGAGTCAATTGTCTTTGAAAGCCATATGTACCCAAGCAAACACATGCTTTCTGCTGTTCCATAATCTGTTTGTGTCCAGACTGTGATGCTTTGGTGGTCTGACTGCAGCAATGCTGATGTTGGGGGGAAAAAAAAGAGAATTGTCTAGCAGGAATTTATCAACTCTGAAAATGTGATTACAGCTGCTATTTCAAATTGTCTTCATCTCATACCTTATATAGACGTTGTCTTGTGTAAATTGCACAGTGAACGTCAGCATTATTTTCTTCATTCATCCTTCACACCGTATCTCTATTGGCTTTGCTTAAACTTGCATAACTCCACAGACACATGAAACCAGTCTGGCACTGTCCTATTTTGCATTGACCATCTGCTTTAAGACCCTTTTTCTTGAATAAGAGCAAGAGTCCCATCTGCATGATGTCAGCTAGGGTTGTAGCCTATCACTCCTGTGCCATTTCTATAGGTCTCCTGAATAAAAACCATCACAGGTGTAAGTCTTGGTAAAGGGCTCCCTAGATCTCCCTGGGACTTGATGGGGAACATGGGCAAAAGAAGATGATGCCAGCTGAGGACTTGCAGATAATCAGAAACAGCTTCTGAAGACCTTCCTTTGATCAGCCACCATCAGTGAATGTGCTTCGCTTCTGTTTGTAGTTAGGCAGCAGTCTCCTGTCCTTGCTTCAAAGGCAAGCTAGCAGTTTTAAAAGCTCTCCAGCACACTGACTTGTAGGTATTGTTGGAGTTGGCTCACTGCTGCCATAGCCTTCCCCAAAGGAAGGGAAACGGGACTGCTACAAAGAGCTCATCTCTGGATTCTTTTAACTGAAGGCTTGACTGCAAGCCAGGTTTCAGGTTGGTAAGAAAAATGTCCTTCCTGAGGGAGATGCTGGTCGGAAATAGCCTGAGTGGTCTCGGTGGGCTTCTACAAGAAACCGTGATTTAGCTTACAACAGGGTGTGTTTCTCAGAACACATTTCCAATACAGACAACTTCTATCACAGCAGAGACTGCTTATAACCAAACATTTTGATTTTTTTCTGCAGCTGAAGAAGACCTTTTCTTAAGCCCATTTCTAATGTAATTTCTGAGATATGCAAGAAGGTGGCTGTTTATTGACAAAAAGGACTATAGTGTAATCTAATTGGATTAATTTTGTTTATGCACAATAGGATATCCATAGGAGCTCTCTTTCCATGTCTTTGGCATTGCTGAAAGAGGTGGAAGTTCCGCAGCTCTGTTTTAATTCAGGTGACTGTGCAGTTTTGAAAAATTCTGGAAAGAAGATTGTTGGACTCTGTGGTTCAGTAAAAAGGACACATTGAGAGCTGAGTCCTCTGCTTCTGTCCTCTCTTACCTCCCTCTATGTATGTCTTAATATTGCTTTGTTTCATTTTATTAGTGTGCTGTAAAATACTTGGTTTACCTTGGCTTGCAGCTTCAATATTTTTGGTATCTTCTCCATCTCATAAATTTCACATAAATTACCATAAATAAACTTGTTTTCCTTGCCTGTCACTATTTATCTCTTGATGAACCAATAAGATATTGCACAATTCCAGGCCATTAACAGTAAAAAATGGCCCAAGAAATAGATGATCATTTTCTGCCAAGCTAAAATTACTTCAGAATTTTTTTCATTCTTTTCTCAGTTGTAATCAGATTGTTTTATGGCAGAATTTCCTTTCCATTGCTGTTGCTCAATGTTCTTGTTCTTTTTGAAACCTCAGCAGCATCTTTTAAAATAATCAAGGAAAAAGATCTGTACCTTAGAGAAGAAAGGCTGTTTGCAAAATGCCAGTGAAATTCAGAAACATAGCAAAATATAGACTTAAAAGCACCTGAAATAGTGTCGCCCAGTGTTAATAAATCACCTTAATTATTGTGTACTTTTTTTTTTTTGTAAAACAGACAAAATGAATAACCAAGCTGTATCTTTTTCAATTATATTTAAGGCAAATTGTTTAGGCAGATAGACTTTTAGTTAGTAATCAGTTTTAACAATTAAGGTGCACATCTTGCTTGGCTATCATTAGCATAAATAAATATTTATGGAGTGCTTGTACAGCTACTTGCTGTATGCTTCCCTTGTAGCAAGTTCAGACTGTGTGTGTATGCATGTATGTGTATATACAGGTTGATATGTATATCATCTATTTGTATCTTGGCTGATGGAGAAGACAGCACATCTGGAGTAACCCTCAGGCATGGGACTGCCCTTCAAGAGAAATAAAATGGCTTCAGATTAATATGCAGATACTAATTAGAGTGTGCTGAGACAAATGGTCTGGTTTCATCTCTCAGCCTAGTGCTTTGCAGATATCTGCATTGATTAGATGCAGTTCACACATTTTGAGCTTATGCTTCAAAGCCACTTGGCAGTTACCAGCTTTTATTTTTACAAAACAACTACAGAACAAGGAAATAGCTTCAAGCTAATACTTGGAGGGCATACCTGCACAGGCTAGCAGCTTTAGCCACCACTTTCAAAATTGCAGCTATTGCATTGTTCTTAATCCTTCAAATTTATGTAAATTTATTAATGGATTAAAGAACTGGCTTGGTATCTATTCTGATACTTTTGATGCTTTTCTAATGGCAAGTGTCAGTTATCTCTCCTTCATAGCTGTTCTAATTGCATTGCTGGTCTCTGTAGACTTTCCTGGTGCACCTACCTGACATTTTGATTTTATTACAAGTCTCTTTAAATGCAGGTAGTTTACTTTTTTATTATTTTAAGAACATAGTGGATGCCCTCATCCTGTTGCTACTTCTGACATGGACATTAATGACTTTTCTGTCAAGGTCCCAGGGGATTTGCTGGGGGGGGGGGGGAAAAAAGTTAGCACTGATAACCCTTGGAGACTTGGCATGAGTCTTGGTACTGTCATTCTGAGCCTTGTGCTTTAGGCTTGGTTGTTGGTATTTGCTGTGCCAGCACCAAGTTCTCCAGAAATTTGAAATCACTCCAGCTGGTGCTTCACCTTCAACCAGTCCCATTTCCATGAACTTCTGCCTTAGGGTTTCTTCTGTTGTGTGAAAAAGGAGCTCAAGAGTGACTCTGGTGTCAGTCACATCAAATTTTGTGTCATGGTTATGATGGCTGCTGTGATGAGACCTGCATGGGTGCCTTGTTAACAAGGGTTTGAATTTGGTTTGCTGGGTGCTGCAACGGTCTTTCTGGGTAGGAACAGAAAGTTACAGATGGAAATTTTGTTTCTTGTATTATCTAGCCCTATGTGATCTGGGGAAAAGATTGCCTGTAGAAGGGACTGGCAGCTGGAGGATGCTCAGGGAAGCACTCAGGTGCTCTGAGCCTGTACCAGCAGGGTTACTGGGCCTGCTCTTGCTGGAGCAGTCTTTGGAGCTCAGCTAGAGGCCTTTCCCAGAGGACTGAGTGGGACATGAGCAATCCTTTACATATATTCCTGCACTTGTGTCCTAGTTTAGGGCAAATTTGTGAGAAAAACCTCTGGAAGGAGCCCCCAGAAAACAAACCCCCGTGGCCCCTCCCCACCCACCTGGCTCGGGAAGAATTTTCTCGGAGAGAAGTGGAAAAGAAGCTATTTATTAAAAAAAAAAATAAATTAACAACACCAGATGACAACAAAACTCTTTCACCACTCTGAAGAGATGAACAAATCCAGAAAGTCTTTCCTGGGAGTGGTTGCCTGGGTCTGGGCACTGGGGATTGCTCTCCGGCACTGGAGATGGCTGCTGCAGATCACAGAGCGCAGGCTCTTGGTGTTCCTTGGTGTTTCCCAAGTCCCAGTCTGGAGCAGTTTGGAGTGATATTCAGGAAAGGGAAAGAAAAGAAAAACAGTCCAGGGAAAAAATTGGACTGCTTAGCTAAACTAACTAACAAGCAAAAGCAAAGGCAAAAGCAGAAGCAAGCAAGCAAAGCAAGCGAGCTAAAGCCCTCAAGCAAAGCAAAAGCAAGACAGCCAGCACTAGCCTCTTCTAGACAACAGACCATGGGGGAACATGAACCAGCTGATAACAAGACAAAACAAACCTTCACTCTCAGAGTCAGTTCTGAAAGCACAGAACACAATATCAAACATAAATAGAATACACAATTGGGGATACCAGCATCATAACATCACCCTATGACAACTTGTCTCTGCTGCTGTACTAAGAAAGGGGGAATGCAGGTCCCTGTGCAGCTGGACTATGACCAGCAGCAGCATCTGCATCCACATTGTCCCATAGCTTCAGCACCACCTAAGTCCTGCTTTGGTAAGCTTTTTGTTGCAACTGTATGGTTTAAAATTGAAATTTTGACTATGCTGAATTAGATTGGACTGGTCAGTGGCTAAATGTTGATACGTGGACTTTCACAGAGCTGTGAAAAATAAATTCTATATGAGTAGAAGGAGTGTCGAACAGAGGAAATTCCATGGTTGATGTATGGCAGGCAACCCTTAAGGCATATCTGAGGCCCAGTCTTCAGAAAGAAGTGCAGGCAATATTGTGCATGGATGTGAAAGTATGAAATTGACAATAATTTGCTTTCCATCTAAAGTGATTTTGGAAGGGGTAGAAATAAGCTAGGAGGTGGAGATAGGTTTGGGGGTTTTTTTTGGTTTTTTTTTTTTTTTTGGTGAGAAAACACAAGGGAGAGCTTAAGACTGAAAAGGGGGAGGAGGGCAGGCAGGACTAAACATTGAAGAGAAGCAGGGAGATTGGCGAGAACCCTGCATGACAAACAGAAGGAAAAGAAAGATTGCCAGAGACAGTGTGGCACGATGGCATGGAACAAGCTGTGGCAGGGTCTTAAAGCAGTTATCCTTCCCTTCCCTTCCTCTCTCCCTCCCTGTAACCATTTGTTTTCTGGGGTTTTTATTTTGTTTTAATTTGTGTGACTGGAGCGTGTTGCCATGTTTAAGTCACCACTGTGCACTGCAGTAGTTGTGTACTCCAGCAATACATCTCTTAATCCCCTAATGTTGTCCCCACAGCTCTACATCTATTGACAGTCATGTGGTACCCAAGTCTCATAGCCTGCAACAGATGGAATTACTCCTAACTTAAATGATGTTTTGGAAGCAGGTTCTGATCAATTGTTTTACCGGAAGGTGTGTATGAGCCTGGCAGACAGAGAACTCTGTGTCCTGGGACTGTGCCAGACACGCTACCATGTGGATACTTTTGAATACAGTTAAATGTATAGGTGGATGTCAGGATATTCAAGTCCTGACCTACAAATTATTTAGGCTTTTGATTTATTAATTACTTGGTGTAATTTTTGAAACTGATGGCTGATCTTTAATAGGTTGTGCTTTTGATGTTGGTCAATGCTTGAGGTAGAGGTCGTTGATGTGATTTCAGTTGTCCTGAGGAACCACTGAATGTCTCAAAGGCAGGCTGTTCAGGTTGGCGATGGCAGTATTGTTCATGTGGGGTACCTTTACTTTGGGAATCATCTTGCTAAATTCAGGGGTCAGGTCCAGTTCTTGTTTTATTAGGAGAGATTCTACTACCTCTTTCATAAATGTTGGGGAAATGAAATGTTTATGATGCCAAATGTTTTTTTCTGTAGTAAATTTATAATTATTTTTTTTTAATTCAGCATGGAAGTGTTCTGACACAGTAATCTTCTCTAATCTTAGCAGGACTTTGCAGACTCCAACACAGGTTCCAGTGGTTGTTTCTCCTGGAAATCAGCAGCTGCATGCTGTAACACTCCAGACAGTGCCTCTTACTACAGTGATAGCCAGCACAGATCCAGCCTCAGTAACAACAGCACAGAAATTCATTTTACAAGCCATTCCTACTTCCCAGCCCATGACGGTTCTTAAAGAAAACATCATGCTACAGTCTCAGAAGCCAGTCTCGCCTCCTTCCTCGATTGTGCTGAGCCCAGCACAAGTTCAGCAGGTGCTCACCAGCAGCGTGCAGACAATTTGCAATGGAACAGTCAACATGGCTTCATCTCCATCCTTCAGTGCCACCACCCCTGTGGTGACGTTCTCACCCAGCAGCTCACAGGTGGTGTCTCAGCCATCAGGCACGGTGATCACTTCGGTCATTAAAGCACCGGACATGAAGCAGGTTGACCTACAAGAAGAGGAAAAGGAGGAGAGTGACAAAGCAGAAGATACTGAGCAGTCAGATCAGAGATTCCAGCAGCAACCATTTGTGATGGTAGTGTCCAGTTCAAATAATTTCCCATCTAACATGCAAGTGAAGCAAGAAAATGAGCCATTGGAACCCAATTTGTATTGATAATTAAATAATTTTTAAAAAACTCCTGTGGATGATTATTTTCATAAATGTGATGGGACCTTTTCAGTTATGTATATATTATTTGATTCTGAAGCATGATTGTTGCAAAGCTACTAAAATTCTGCAGTTAATTCTTAGAATTCATGCTTTAAGATGGATTTTGATTTTCTGTTAAATGCTAAATGTTATCATATAAATAAAATTATATATTAATCATTTTTCAAAGGCATGAAGGAACATGCTTTTTATTCTATGAAGACTTCCTCCTGAGGTTGTTGGCCAAAGTTTCAAACTTCTCTTATTTTGGTGTCAGTCTGTTGCTGATTTACATTACAGTAATGTTATTGTAACCTTTTCTGTTTAATCTGTATGTGTATCACCTTTGGAAGCAGCAGTTAGTTTTAGTAAGACAGTTTCATTCCATGTGTCTGAATTTTTGTGATCGAGTACCTGTTTCATATCAGTGAATGACATCAGTTTTAGACTTTGATAACCAGGTATCCTCTTGGATTTTTTGCAGCACAAGTTCTTGTGTGTGCAAAATTGAATATACACTCCTACTGAGAGTATTCAAAACATATATTCCAGAAATGGACAATGCCATGTCTATATTTTATATGGAAACATCAGATATATTTAATTACAGAAGCTAACGGCATCACTACAGGTGCAAATGTTTTATGCCATTTTGCAACTATGAAGCTTAACAATCTTGCTTTCTACTTCAGATTATTTTGTAAGGGGGGAGGGAAATTAAATATATACAATTTATGCAGGTTTTTGGAGATTAATACTGCTAAGAGTTCTTGGTTTTGATTGTAAATACTGTATATTCAATGTTGCAGGGAAGTTTTTTCAGCTAATTTTTTCCATACAAACTTTTGATAGATGCAAATAAGATCAATAAGATCGTTATGTTTAGAGGTCTAATGTTATATGTATTCATATTACTGAGTGACTTTGTATTTAAAGACAAATTTTTAAATGATGGAGCCCATTGAACCTTGGGTTCTTCTTTTGTATTTTTAATTGGTTTATTATGAAAATAAATCAAATGGAAAAAACATTTTTCTGTATTTACTCCAAAATGTTTTTTATTATTATAATGTTTTGACAATCACCATAAATAAGTAAAATACAGTGAGAAACAGGACAGGGTGATTAGTCAGTTTGGGTCTATGGTGGAACATGAGCAATTCACAAATCACTTCTGAACAGACTTTAATGCAGTCAGTGTGCTGTCAGTATCCTCTGTATAAAATGTATATTTTTGTAACTGAACTGAATGTTGTGATAAATCCAGGAACTGGATTTAAACTTCTCCTTTTCCATCACTTCCCAGTATGTGACAAAGAAACAACACGAAATTCTGAGCGTAATTCACAAAGGTTGTTGTAGCTTATATGATACAACTGACAGCCCAAACTATTAGGGCTTCAAAAACTTGCATGTTGCAGTGTTTAAGTAGAGGGTAAGTTAATAATAAATATTGTGCCTGGTATTATGATTCTGTCAGTATAAAATGAAAGGGAATATGACTTTCTATGATTGAATTAATGTTGGAGTTTTATTAATTGGTTGGTAAGGTTAAATATAACTTGGAGCACTAATACTAGAAAAACTAATAGGAGTAGAAGAGTGGCAGAGAGAGTATGATCTTGCTGCTTGACAGAAGGAACTCTAGAAACTATTGAACAAGCAATTCTCTGCCACAGCTGCCTTGTTAGTTCAATGCTTCTCTCTGACTCTTTGCAGTCAGTCTTCCACCTGCAAACCCAGTGCCTCACCCCATTTACAGGAAGGCTGGTCATACCCACACCAGTGGTTGTTTATCTGACAGCACTCCCTGCAGCTAGGGAGTGCTGGCAATATTGTCAGGAATGTGGATAAGCTTTGTGGAAGCATATCTGGTAATAGTCCTCACTCCAAGGGCTGTGTTAGATTGACAGAAACACTGGAGAGGGAGGCTATTTTTTAAAATCAAACTATAACATAGGGATGTTTTCCTTTCATAATTCTAGAAAATCTGAAGTGGTAATGCTTGACTGACATAAGTGGTTTTAGATATAGGGATATTGCTTTGGTGTTTACTGGAAATGTGGGGGGAAAAAATTTGCACCATAAGATTACAGCTTCACCAACAAAACTTCATGCCGTAGATGCAGCTATTACACATGGAAAATGATTTGTCAGTTTAGTTTATGTCAGTTGGAGAAGTGGTGGAAATCTCCAGCAGCAATAATGTGTCTCCAGCAGCAGACTGTTGCGTAACACACAGTAAATGGAAATCACTCCCTCCCCATATCCCTTGGGCTCCGGTGTGCCAGCCGGGTGGATCTGTGCTTTGAACTCTGGTTGATATGGCAAAGGAAGGGAGAAGCTGGAGTAAATAATAAAATGAGAGCTCACATTGGGAGTTTGAGCTGCCCCTCCCGTCACAGCTGCCTTTGTGCCTGTGGCAGCAGCCAAACAAAACATGACAGCTAAAGTCCCAGCCACCTCTGAGTCAGAAAATAAAAATTGAGGCCTTGGTTCTTGTCCACACATGTGTGAAGCCACAGAGGAAAAAAAGGCATTTGTTTATTTTTGAGGCACACAGAAGGAAATGCCATCTGGAAGAGGTGGAGGAGGATGGAGGCCACAGGCTGTCTTTGTGAAGTCCTGTCCACCACCCTGTTGTCCTGAACATGGGCTGGGTGCTTGGTGCACAGCACCAGCTGACACACTGAGAGGTATTTCTGGTTTTTATTCTGATTTGTACAAAGTAGGGAGCTAGGTCGTAACCCACAAAAGGCTGGTTCTCTGATTACTAAAACGTCACACTGGTTATAAATTTTAACAAACAAAGGCCTTCACTGGTTACAGATTATATAACTTTTTTGTTAATTAATACTCTAACCCCTCTTGCTAGAGGTATTATAAACTGCACCAGTGGAGGTTTAGGTTGGATATTGGGAAGAATGAGGGCAAGTAGATATTGGAATGGGCTGCCCAGGGAGGAGGTGGAGTCACCATCCCTGGAGGTGTTTAAGGAAATACTGGACTTAGCATGGTTATCATGGTGGTGTTCAGTCAGCGGCGGGACTCGATGATCATTTCCAGCCAAACTGACTCTGCGATCTCTTGCTTCTCACGCCTGCGGCCGCAGTTCTTCCCTCCCTCTGCCCTGCTTTAGGAGGTGTCAGGGGGTCCCCATGTCCCACTGCCGCAGTGACCTTTCCCCAGCTCCTGCCCAGCCTGCTGACAGCCAACTCCTCTGCTGATTGTGTTCCCTTTTCCTTTAAAACCAAACATCAGCCACGCGTACGATGCTCACAACGCAATTGCGCAACTACTAAACCATCCCTGCTGCAGCTACCGGTCAGCAACCGAAAAAAAAATTGCAGACTTCGATACAAATCCTTAGCAGCTCGGAGCCCGACGGGCCGAGCTCCCCCGCGGCAGGCGGGGCGGGCGCTGCGGGGCGGGAAGCCTGGCGGGAAGAGGAGCGGCGGCAGGAAAAGGCGGCGGGAAGGGCAGGGCGGGCACGGCGGCCGCGCGGGGCGGGGCGGGGCCTGCGCGGCCGCTCCCGCGCCTCCCGGCAGCCCCCGCGCGGCGCGGCCTGGCGCGGTGCGTGCGGCGCGGGCGCCTGGGCGGCTCCAGAAGTTTCCGGGGGGCGACGGGCGGCATGGAGGAGGCGGCGGGAGCGGCATCGGGAGCGGCCCCGCCGCGGTGAGCGCCCTCTTCGGCCCTGCCTCCCCCGCGGGCCCGCCGCCCGCCCGCCCGCTGACGGCGTTGTGTTTCCTTGGCAGGTTCTCGGACGCGGACGTCGACCGGGACCCGGGGGCGGCGGCGCAGGTGAGGGCCGGGCCGGGCCGGGCCGGGCGGGGTCCCTCGGGAACCCGGCACAAGTCAGGTCGGGCTGCAGGGGAGCCCGGCGCAGACCTGGCACAGTGCTCGTGTTGCCTGTGTGGCAAAGAAGGGGTGGGGGGGGGAAGCAAAGCAACCAACTTTCTCTTCCGTGTAGGTAGATGATAGTTCACACAACTACATCCGTTAAGATTTGTTGGTATAAAATCCCAAGCTTATTGAAGAGAAGTATTTCATCTGAGGTTTTATTTTGCCCTGGTCTACTTTATTCCACTCCCTATAATTTGTGGGCACCACGACTGATCTTCCTTTCATCTCCATAGAAAATAATTTTTATGTAGTGGGAACAATCGCTCACTGAAACACCCTCCCCACGGACGTGGTAGAGTCCCTGTCACTGGAGGTTTTCAAGACTCGAATGGGCAGGTTGCTTGATACTCTAATCTAGGCATGCTTTCCCGTGAAAGGTTAGATGAGATGATCTTTTGAGGTCCCTTCCTACCTGGCCTGTTCTGGAGGGTGAACAGGCTGGAGGGTGGCTAAGTATTTCTATTTAACTACTTGGGAGGGGAGAGGATGTAAATGGTTAGTACTGCTTGAAGAGAGTGGGTGGTAGAGCCATTAATTGATACTAAATTATCTTTCCACTAAGAAAATGGTGAAGCTAAATTTTTCATTTTTTTAGGGTTTAGGCTGTAACTTGTAGAAGTTTTTCAAAAGATAAATGACATTTAAAAACCAGTTTGGAATAGCCAAATCTATATGGCATAACAAAACTAAGTAAAGATCTAAAAAATGGTGTAAGTTTCACAGTTTGTAGTTAAAAAAAATAAAACCAAAAAAACACACTAGGAAACAAACTAAAAATCCCTGACACCAGGTCTTCAGAAGTATTAAGGAATACTGTCAAAATGTGGTTTTGTATTTTTTCCTGGATTAACATAGTTGTTTTGCTTTTCTAGCTTATATTTCAGTTCTTTGTGCATTCAGTGCTTCAGAACATTATGTAACCCATTCTATAGGCATTATTTAATACCTGACACAGTAATACTGGTGTCAGTTGTTAGGCCTTGTTTTCAAATCCCTGGATTGAGTAGGCAGATTGTGCTTGGTGGTCTCTGAACTGGTAAGTGCCGCAGCTCAGAGTAGCATTTTCCTGACTTAGAAAATCTCCAGGTGCTACACTGTTCCTGCATGGTCTTATGTGTGATCCCTATGTTCATGTGCTTAATATTTCTAATCTGGGGGATGATTGTGTAGAAATGGTGCTGTGTAATGCTTTCATACCTGGCTGGGCTTCTGTCCAGTTGGCCTAGCATTTCTGCACTGTGTCCTTGGGATTGTTGATTGCTTTAATTCCTGGAGATTGTGCTTTGGCTTTCTGCACTTGGATCTGATGCAATTGAAAGATCATCATCTATCTTCTAATACTGTCTGAATGACAAAGATGTGAAATCATGAATGACTTCTCATTTTAAGCTGAAAATGTAAGCTACTATGTGGAGACAGAAGGTACCTTTAATTCAGGCCAACTTTTTACCAAATTTTCCAGTGTGTTTAGAAACAGATCTGCAATTTGGTCATATGGTAAGGGCCTTTAGAGTCAAAATATGCAGAAAGCACATACTTGAGTGTGAGGACAAAGTCTAAGCTTGTTCTAAGTAACTGTTGCTGGTGTCCGTAGTCTGGAGTTCCCAGTGCTAGTCCAGTATTACTTGGCTTCTCAAAAGCTTACAGGAGTTACTTTCACCGTGTGTGTGGATGAGATATGGTAACTTACTGATAAAAAGCACACAAAGAGAGAAGTTTTACACTGTTGAAAGTGCTTGGCTTTGCTTTGCTTTCCTGGGGTGAGGGTTAGTTTTGTAGGAAGATCCATTTATGTGTTGCTGACTCTAATTAGTGTATCCGTCATCAGCATAAATCACAGGAAATAGTGTTTGAGGGGGGGAGAGGTGATCTGTCAAAGCAGTGCCTCTGCACCTGAATGTGCCTGTGATGTTCAGTATCAGAGTCAGGCCCTGCTTGGTGCTTCACCTCTCAGCATAATATGAACCAATTTTAATATGTGCATTGCCTCACATCCCTGCCGTGTGGAATACCTGTAGCCATGAGTATTTCCATAATGACAGCTGCTTTTGAATGACTTTAAATCTCAGGAAGGCATCGGTACAAGTGGATCAAGTTACTGCTGCCTACTGCCTGCCCCTTTCCTCA